CATATGTTTATTGTTGGCCACTACTTAAGATGATGATTGCCATAGTTTTGTCTGAAAAGTTACAATTGTTATTTGTAATTAGTATTGTGGTGGAATCAGAGATATACCATGCAGTTTCACTTTCGAGGAAGGACTTGCTCAATTGTGGCAAGTATGGTCAGTAGTTAGCTACCAGATGCCAAGTTCTTTCAGCATGCATGACTCACCTCACCCAAGATCACACCCTTGCTGGTGTAGCTACATCCAAAGCCTGCGTGAGATAGAACTGGAGTACTCACTCCACAGTGTCCTGCCAGTTGCCAAGGCTGGGCCTGCATTGCAGTTAGATTTTTTCTCTCAGCTCTGTTCTGCTTCCTCTCCCTTCCTTTCACATATGTTTTCTCTATTACACTTCAGACTGTCTCAGCATTTGATTCCAGAGAACCCAACTGAGACAAGAATCTTATGGGGAGACACTTTGAAACTGTAAATAGTAGTTCCTTGTTGCTTTCATTTAACTTTTTAGCATTCTTTGAGGATTCTTTTAAGAAACAGATACTACTATATTAGTTGCCAAGTGGTGAGTTTTCTAATTCCATCATTTCTTCTACATTTACTAGTTAGAATTCTACTAAGGAATAGTTTATGCTCATGTTTGTTTGCTAATTGATTCATTTGTTATCAGCATCCAACAGTGGATTCTATTTTATTTTATCATTTTATGAGTAATACGCTGACATTTATTTTGTTGCTCATATTGTTGCCAGTGGCTCACGCCTGTAACCCTGGCTACTTGGAAGGCTGAGATTGTGAGGATCAAAGTTTGAGGCCAGTCTGGGAAATAGTTCAAGAGGCCCCACCTCCAAATAACCAGAGCAAAAATGGACTGGAGGTGTGGGTCAATGGTAAGAATACCTGCTTTGCAAGTACAAAGCCCTATGTTCAAACCTCAGTCCCACCAAAAAAAAAAAAAAAAAAAAAAAAAAAATCCCAGATTTTGTCAATAGGAGCCCCTCCTGCATCTGGATTCTGTATTGTTTTGACAACTCTCCCTCATTTCACAATTATTCTTTTTGCTACTGCATTTTTTTAGGTTCAGTTGGCTTATTTTTCCTCCCCCTTGGAATTGGTCATTTAAAACTGGACTAAATCTGAGTTTTTAAAAAAAGGAAATGCTGCCAGGCATGAGCCTTCATGCCTGTAATCCTAGCTACTTGGGAGGCAGAAATCAGAAGCATCATGGTTTGAGGCCACCCCATGCAAAAATTTAGTGAGACCCCCATCTCAGCCAATAGGAGCTAGGAGCAGTGATGTGCACCTGTTATCCTAGCTACATGGGAGGCATAATTAGGAGGATCTCAGCCCAAGCATATGTATAAGTGTGAGACCCTTTCTCAAAAATAACTGGAGCAGAAGGAACTGGTAATGTGGCTCAAGTGGTAGAGGACCTGCCTAACAAGCACAAGGCCCTGAGTACCCCAGTACTGCCCCCACCAAAAGAAAGAATTTAAAGTGCCAGAAGAAAATATGAATGGTCTTATAAGACGCACACAGTGAAAATCTCTACCTGTAGCTCAGAATTGCCAAACCCAGGAGACAATGGATAAGTAACTTAGTTCAGAGAAAAAAAAGAAAATGGCCTATAAACATATGAAAAGATGTTTACTTTCACAGAATGAAAGGTAAAATTACCCTGCAATACCAAAAACTTGAAAACACTTGATTAAGTTGCAAAGAAACGGGTGGTCTCATACATTGCTTGTAGGAGTATAAAGTTCTGGTAAATGTTTTTGGGAAAGCTAAAAATGTGACAGTAATCTGGTGCAGTAATCCTGCTGTTAGGGACCTACACTGAAGATAAAGTCCACCAGCAAACATGTGCACAGGATTACCTATGCCACGTTTAGCAAGACTGGAACAATCCAAATGTTAACAGTAGGAGCTGGATGGCAAAACAGCATCTACACAGTAGAATACTGTTCTTTCTTTTAGTGACCATGCACTAATGTAGTGGTCTCTAGAATTTGTAGGCTATTTCACAAGGTATCTGGCCTGGTCTCTTAAAAACAATGCCATTATCTTATGAAGTCTAGATAAAAATAGAACTTGAATAGTGTCTACAGTGTAAACAGTTTGTTGGAGACTTGAGGAAGGCTTCAGACAGCCAAGTAGGCTATAGAGAAGCAAGTTGAGGTCTGCTGTAGAGCCTGTACTAAGTGTGGGTTATGAGGAAGGGAGAGTAAGTTTGTAATGGAAGTGTTTGGTGATGTAGATACAGTACAACTATTAGAGAATGGAGGAAACATGTAAAATTTAAGCTTTTAAAAAATCACTTAAAGTTTTTCTTAGTTCATTTCTTCCATCTGAAGTACTCTTCAACGACTTCCTTTGCCTGAGATTTTTCGCCATAGTCCTTAACCCCTACACAACTGCAAGCCATTACTTTATGGGGTTTTTCCCCTTGATCAGTTTGCAGAAGCCTACCCCTTAGTCTGGTTTCTTGTTGTCATAAACCTTAATTAGGTTGATGTGGTGCTCAGTGCAAAGGGCCTCCAGCAACTAGATGCATCACAGTGGGATGCAAGTACACAAACATGGACGAGGCGCCTTTTTCTGTTTCCTGTTAAACACAAGCCATTCAGAACTTTTGTGCTGGCACATGAACTTCATGCTTTTTTTCCCTTGACTGCAGTGTTGTTCTGGCTCATACACAGACCTAGCTAAGGCTGGAGCAGTTTTGCAAATTCCATGTGTTATGTCTATCCAGTATTAATGTCCATTACACCTCCAGCAGCAGTGACTTCCTTGGCCATGGTGGAGGAATACCAGTGAAGCCACACCAAAACTGAGAGGTGGTGGCAAGGAGAGAGCTCAACTTTTAATATAAATGGCAGCACTACTGGTTTCATTTCCAAGACTGCTGATGTACATTATAGGATATTCTAACTCTTCATCCTTTGGGTTCTTAATTTCAGTGGCAAAAGCAGATACAAATGTTATAACAAAGATGTTAAGTAAAAACCCTGTAGGCTTGAATTTGAATGGAAAGTGTCAAAATTAGCCTGTGAGGTATTACATTTTTTAGCAGTACTAGAGTTTGAACTCAGGGCCTTGTGTTTACTAGGCAAGCACTCTATCACTTGAGTCATGTCCCCCTCCCTTTATTTTTTTCTAAGTGTATATAGTAAGCCTGCCTTATTCATGGATTACATGCAGTTTTAACCAAGTATGGTCAAAGAAAATAATAAATTTAAAACAAGAAAATTTTAATTTACACACACATTATGAGATTAAAAAGCTCTTAGTGAGTCCCATGTTATCAGCAGTTATGTTTAAATTGTTATGTGATCTGCTGAGTGTTTCCCTGTTCTTAATATTGTGAAAATATGCCTCCTGAAAAGCAAATGGTGCCCAAAATACTGATTTCAGAATTTACTAAAAAGTGCATGTAATCAAGACAGTGTAGTAGGTGGAAGAATGGACATGTAGCCACATAGGACAGAAGTAAACCCTTATTATATAGGTAGGTTTATTTTCATCAAAAGTTCCAGGGCAAATAATTGGAAAATAGGGTTTTTCTCAACTATTGGCCATTTTTATGCAAAAAAAAAAAAAAAAAGCCACCTGGCAGCAGTTGGCTCATACCTGTAATCCTAGCTACTTGGGAAGCTGAGATTAGGAGGATGGAAGCTAGCCTGGGCAAATAGTTGGTGAGACCCCATCTCCAAAAAAATACACAAGGTGGGAGTGGGGTGGGGGGAGAGGAGGAGCTTAATCTGTACTTTGTAACATGCATCCAAACAGTTAACTTTTAAAATGGATTAAAGACCTAAATGTAAATTTGTAAACCTAGAAGAAAACATGAGGAAAACTTTATGACTTGAGATTGGCAAAGACTTTTCAGGTAGGACACACAGCATGAATAAAAAAATGATAAATTAGACTTCATCAAAATTAAAATTTTTCTGCTTTTCAAAATATAATTAAAATATAGACTAGAAAAGAATTTTGGCAAAAGCATATCTAATGAAATATTTATATCCAGTGGGAGGCCCTACGTTCAATGCCCAGTACAGTAAGCCTGCCTTATTCATGGATTTATTATACAGTTTTAACTGAAGGCAATAAAAAAAATTACCATGGGGTAATTCCACAGATTTACCTAGCTCAGTAGATGCAGAGAAGCTCTTGGTCAGTCCTGTGTTATCATTAGTTGTGCTTAAACTCTGCATCCTGAGCATTTTCCATTTCTCCTCAGCAGTGGTCTCCCTTGGAACTGCGGATCTACAGAGACCAAAGGTCTATTGTACCAAAGACATTCAGATCACATAAAGAGCTCGTACATCAATAACATAAGCACCACAAATGAAAAGTGGGAACATAGTTCAAGTGGCAGAGCACTTGTCTAGTTATGCAAGACCCTGGGTTCAATCTCTAGCACTGCAAAAGAAAAAGAGTGCTAACAGTCAGGTGTGATGATGCACACCTGTAATTCCAGTTGGGAATGAAGGAATAAATTCTGGTGTTCAGCTGCACAGTAGAGTGACCATAGTTTACAGCAATTATACGTTTTATTGTATGTTTATCACATATTTGTTTGAAGACTATACACAAACAAATTGATTAATGTATTGGGAGATAAAATGCTAATTTCGCTGATATGAGAGCCTTAAACATTGTATACATTTGAATTATCACACTGTACCCTCTAAGTATGATAATTATGTGTCAATTTAAAAAGATTAACTTGCTTATAGCTTTCACAGAGGCTGGTAAGGTATTTCGCAGGCTAACAGTAAGTCAGGAGTGCTGCCAAGGGCAGATGTCCCTGCCTTAACACGCTTGCATAACAGAGGGCTCAACATATCTTTAGTAAGTTTAAAAAAGAATTTGAATTTTAGCATTTTAATGTTCTCAGAGTTTCATGAAAATGTTAGTAAGATGAATATTCAACCTGAAAGAAAACTTATGTATAAAAATGGTTAAAGTATATTTATTCACTATTTTTTCTTCTATTCCAGATACTATTTTTGAAAGTCAAGAAACTGGTAAGACATTTTTGGTCTCATTTTAAGTACAATACTTACGGTATCTGTATTGTAAACCATATATTTTTTATTTGATGATAAATACATGTGGTTTTGTTTTTCAAAAAGAAAATGCGTATCTTTAAGATCAAATTGATTAAAAGGAAATATAGTTGGACTTATTCCAGGACTCAGTTTTTTTTTTCACTTTAATGTTTGTGTGAGTTGAAGTAGCCATTATTTTCTAAGGTGCCTAGTACTCAAACTTCTTTGTGTAAATTTATATATTTCTGCCCTGTATGTTCTTCAAAACTCTTCAGTTCTTAATGTTATCTTTCAGTGGGTTGGGTGGGGAGGGGTTCTGCTTTCATGGTGTCTAAACCTTACTGACGGTTCTCTTCATGCATTTGTTAAAAATAGTACATGGCAACTTAGATATTTAATAGAACAATCAGACTTTAAGTTTGAAAATTGTATTGCTAGGTCAAAGGAACTAAAGTTTATTGTTTTGTTTTTTCTCCTTTGCTTGTTACAGGTGTTCTCACTCAGGGCCTTGTGCTTGCTAGGCAGGCACTCTACCTTTTTTAAGTTATATTTTTGAAAAGGTTTTCCTGGTCCAACCTAGACCACCATCCCCCTATTTTCACCCCCTGCATAGCTGAGATGACAGCCATGCACCACCATGCCACATTTATTGGTTGAGAGACTCTTGCTTACTTTTTTGACCCAGCTGGCCTCTAATCTTGATCCTCCCCATCTGTACCTCCCAAGTAGCTAGGATTACAGGCATGAGCCACCACATCCAACCTCAGCACTATTTTTTTAATTCTCAACTTGTTATAGGCTTCACAAGGAGCCTTTAGCTTTTTTTCTGATTGCACTCTTCCCCATGAAAAATACAAAATATCCCCCAGAATATATATCTTATTTTAAAATGTATTGTATGTGTCTCTTTATTTTCATAAGGAGATTAAGATTTGTTTACCCCTCTCAAGGACTGTATCTACCCTCATTGAGAAAGAATGCTATATAGTGAGTGCTGTCATTATTATCCCGGTTTTATAAATGAGGAAACTGAGGCACAGAGCAATAACTTGTCCACGGTCAGATCCAGGCATTCTGCCTTATATAGCACGTCCTCTTAACCCCAGTGCTGTACTACTGCCCCTTAGATATGGCATACAACTGAAAAGACTAACATACCAACTGCAGCATTTGCTTAGCAAAGAATATAGAATTCTATTCCCTACAAAGCCAGAATAGATGTCCTCATCCATGATGGTGGGAACAGGGCAAGTGGCTATGAGTGGCACTCGTAACACAAAGGAGTTTGCCATATCCAAGAACTCTGATTTTGTACATAGCACTAAGCAAAAATCACATCTTTACCTAGTGAAAAAACTGACATCATGGACAACTGTAGATATATGCTTTGTGTTTACAGTTAATTGCTTGTGAAATTAAACAGAAGAAATCATATTTTAGTTTACTGTGACATTTATTAAAGAACAGTTTTAATATTGCTTCAGGGATAGAATATATAAACAATATTTATAGTTAAATGATCTTTTCTCCTCATGAAAAATTCACCAGAATGAAACAATTTTAGAAGTATATCAAGATAAATTTCAAAGATAAATTTTGGTTTTGGCTCATTTCTGTCTTCCAGATATGAGTGGAAGCACAAATAGGAAGATCTTTGTCCAGGCTGACTGGGCATAAACTAGACCCTATCTCAAAAATAACCAATGCAGAAAGGGCTGACAGAGTGGCTCACAGTGCTAGAGTGCCTGCCTAGAAAGTGTGAGGTGCTGAGTTCAAGCTCCAGTATCACACACAAAAAAGGAATGACATACAAACATTCAGAGGATTTCTACAACAGTTGAATAGTTAGAAATTACTAATAAATATTCTTCCTGGAGACAAACAAACATTAAGCGTGGTTCCCTTAAATCCAAGTTTTCAGTAACAGAAAAAACAGACTAAATCTTGGTAGGCCTATATTTTCAGTGTATTGAAGGTTCAGATACTGAAAGTGGAGAATTTCAGAAGTTCTGACTTCAAACACTTTTCACTTGTATTAGCTGTTGAAGTTAGTTTTACTCCAAAGAACCTTCTGATAAAGTTTTTGTTGTTGTTTTTAATTCAGGTATAGGTGATTTTTGAACATGCACTTTTTGATATATAGGTTTAGATATTTCTTTGAGCTTTGATTTAATTTGCTTAGTTAACTATTTTACTTTACATATTACTTACAGCCAAAGGTTTGCCTGTTAATCACATGAATTTAAGCTTAGTTAAAACAGTATATTCTATTATCCTTTACTTTATTACAATTTTTAAATTAGCATTCATAAATGCTTGCTAACTCCAGGCTTTGTGCTAAGAACTTAAATTTTTTTAACTGAGAATTAATGTAGCTTAAAGCAAACTGCCCCCCCCCCATACACTATGGAGATTAGAAAGATTCTAAAAATACGTTAAATGTTTCAGGAGTCTACTGTTTTCCATGCTAGTATTAGTTGTAAATTAATAATTAAGAAGTTTAAAGCACCTCAGTGTTACCATTTATCTCAAGTGAGAAGCCCTCACTTGATTGAGTATGACAAGTTGGCAAAAAGTAAAGAAAGGAAGGCAAAGTAACATTTGCAGTGTTGATAAATGGAGTCAGAGTTGGTGTCATAGGAGACTAAGCTGTGTTTTTCCAAAGGAAAAACCAATGATTTTTGAGTCCATTGGGTGGGCCAGGAGGTTTGACCTGGAGGGAACAGGCAGCATAAAAAAAGTGCAGATTTTTGAGAAACCAGTATTTCTAGCGTAGATGACAATTAGAAATAATGAAAGTGAAAAGAGCACATTCACACATAGAAGGAAGTTCTGGTTAGTATTGTGATCACTTAGATGGTTAAAAAAGTGGAGGAAAATACAGTTTTATGGATGACATAATAAGTTCCTTGGACTTTTATCAAGCAGATGAAGTTCTGGCATTAACATTTAGAACTAAGTGATGTTAGACACTATACTAAATTCTCTGAGCCTCAATGTTTAACATTTATAAATTTGAAGAATACCTAATAAGACTTAGATTTCTGTGAGGGTTACAAATAAAGTACATTATGCTTTCTAGGAGCCTTTTATTAGAAAGAATGTTGATTTGAGTATTTAAAGTTGAATGTGATGACTAGGAAGTTCCAGAGTTTTATTAGAATGCATTGGCCAAGAATTTCAGTCAACAGGGAGAACAAATTAAAACAATGTTTCACATTGGTCACAGAGATAGATTGGAAGCAAGGACCAGTTGGCTTTTGTAGCTTCCAAATGAGAAGGGCAAACATTTGTCAGCCACGCACTGGCGGTAAAAATATGAGGAGGGCTGGAGCATGGCTCATGTGGTAGAGCACCTGCTTAGCCAGCGAGAGACCCTAAGTTCAAAACCTAGTACCGCCAGAAATAATGAGAATGAAAAGGAATCACTTAGCAATTTTAGGGGCTAGAGTCGGAAGTAATTATATTGACTAGCTTTGAGATACCAGGAGTCACTTGAGCCCTGAGGTTCTTCCTGCAGCAGTCTCTGCGTGACTGGGGCTCCTAGTCTTTGCCATCAAGCATGGACCAGAACTATTTCAAAGGAAAATGTTGAATTTTAATGGGGTTGTTAGTTTGTCATGATTTTATTTAAAAAGGATGAAAATTTTTTAAACCAAAAATATAAGTAGAACTAACTCAGACCAAAGGGAGGTCTTAGAATTGAATACATGTCAACTTTGAAAACTTCACATTGTTCCTTAACGGTTCTCACTTCACTGCAAGCTAGAGAAACCTTTATCACTCCTTCAGCCTCAGAAACGCTGAGGTAGGGAATGCACAAAAAGAACCAAGTTTGGGAGAGAAGAGTGAAGATGCCTGGATCGCAATGGCAGTGGTAGCCTGCCTTTGTTGATGATTTATTATGTGCAGGCTCTGTTGTGCACGTTGCGCATCAGTATTGAGCAACTAACTTCACTGAGATGAGTGTTTTAATTGAAGTCTAAGCAAATTATTTGGAGACTGCAGTATGAAGAGGTAATGAATTCTGAAAGTAATGTAGAAAACTTTTGTGGAAGAAATAACATTTGATCTGAACTTTTAAAGTGAGTAGAATTGCTAGGCATGGTGCTTCATGCTTGTAATCAATCCCAGCACTTAGGAGGCTAAGACAGTATTTTGAGTTCGAGACTAGCTGAGTAATATAGTGAGTTCCAGGTCAGCCTGAGCAACAAAACAAGACCTGTCTCATAACACATACACACACGTAGAATTTCAAACTTTTACTGTTTTGTCTGTATTTTGTTATTTGTAGTAGGTTTGTGGCACTGCATTCCAAACTGAAGGACTCCAAGTGCACTGGTAGATAGTTCTTATGAAAACTAGTCCTTCTTTCAAATCCAAAGACTATACAACACAGAAAGCTTAAAGTTACAGCAGTGTTTTAACGTGGAGATAAAGATGTTGGAATATTACACTAATATACTTGGGAAACAGTTTCAGTAGAAACTCAGTGGCCAAAGGTTTCTCTTGTGAGCATGTGTTGAATAGGAAAATGAAATTTAGGTTACTTTTTTTCAAACAATACGGGGATTGAGTTGTTCAAATTCACCTGGTACTCTTCATGATGGTAACTTCCTTTATTTCTGTTTATAGTTCCTTGGATTTAAAGTTCACATTATGAATTGTTTTAAAATAATTTTTTAGGTTATTTAAAGTTAGTGTTAAGGGAGAGTTTAAAATACAGTGAGTGAGCAGGGCATGGTAGTACTCATCTGTTGTCTTAGCACTCAGGAAGCTGAGGCAGGAGGATTACAAGTTCAAAGCCAGTCTAGGCTATATAGTAAGTTCAAGGCCACAGGCAAATTAGATAAAACAACCCAAAGTTGGGCACAGTAGTTAATTCCTATAATCATAGCTACTCAGGAGGTGGCAATTAGGAGTATCACTGTTTGGGCTAGCCTTGCCAAAAAGTAAGAGACCCCCATCTTAACAAGAAGGCTGGGCATGGTGGTGCACACCTGTTATTCCAGGACAGCCCTGGCAAAAAATGCTAGGCCAATACCTGAAAAATGACTAAAGCAAAAAGGCCTTGGGGGCATGGCTTAAGTGGTAGAGCACCTGCCTTGCAAGTGCTAGGCCCTGAGTTCAAACTGAAGTACCACCAAAAGTAAGTAAATAAATACATACATAAATAAAATAATCCAGTGAGTAAAGGCAGTGTCTGTAGCTTCAGTCTTCAGCAGCTGAACACAATCAAACCTCACCTCAAGCTGTGGTCTTTTCTTACAAACCAGGCTGGTAATCCTGAGATGTAGGGAAGGAGTGTTTCCTCGGATCTAGCAGTGTCACAGCATGCACATAGAGGAGCTGTGTATTTGGTGTTTTAATAGGTCTTAAGTTTTTATTGGATTAGGTTGCCTGACCCAAATACTGTATCTTGCTATAATGATGTTTCCTGTTTTCACCTGTTTTTATTTACCAGGAAAGGCCGTTGTTTACCTTGTGGCTTTCCATCTGTTCTTTGTTATGTTTGTATGGTCCTATTGGATGACAATATTCACGTCTCCCGCTACCCCCTCCAAAGAGGTAAATTTAATGTTGGTACCTTGCCAGATGTTTTAACTGATGATGGAATTGTTTCCTTTGTGTTGCCTACTTAAACACTTTACCTAATACATTTGTTCTGTTCCCATTCATAAATTGCCTGATAACTCCATATTGTGAACGTGAGTCATAAGCCTACTCTCAGATATGATTCATGGGCATACATAATACAGTTTGGCTGTACTAATGCTTTTCTGCCATGCTGGGTTTTTTTGGGGGCAGTACTAGGGTTTTGAACTCAGAGCCTTGCACTTGCTATGCAGATGCTCTACCTCTTGAATCACACCCCCAGTCCTTTCTTGCTTTAGTTATTTTTTTGATAGGGTCTTGAATTTTTGCTTGGGACCAGCCTTGGATGGCAGACCTCTTACCTGCGCCTGCTGCGTAGCTGGGGTGACACGTGCGTATCACCATGCAAAGCTTGTGGGCATTGGTTAGGATGGGCACATGTTAAAATTTTGAATAAGCTGACCTCAAAGTATGATCCTCCTGATCACCACCTCTTGGGTAGCTGGGATTACAGGCATGTAATTACAGGCATGCCCAGTTGCCATGCTGTGGGTTTTTTTGGCGGGGGGTGGGGGGTAACTGGGTTTTGAACTCAGGGCCTTATACTTCCTAGGCAGGTGTTCTATCACTTGACTCAAGTCTCCAGCTCTTGTTTTCTTAATACTTTGTCTTACTGTAGTAAAAAGTCTTAAGGGACACAAGTTAGTTAGGGAAGTAGAGTTCATGGCATATTTTCTTAGCCATGAACAAACTACTCTGTGGTAATTGTGGTATACAGTAGGTCAGCCTAACAATCAAATAGGCTATTGATTGCTACATCTTATTATATTAGTTTTTCCTCCTAATTAGAAGTTCTACTTAGAAAATAATGTAGGTAAACATTTACGTGGAGTAAGTTTTACAAGTAGTGTGTCTCTTACCTTGACATATTCAGCAGAATTCTTCATTAAAATTTAGTGTAGGTTGGGCACCAGTGGCTCATGCCTGCAATCCTAGCTATTCAAGACGCAGAAATAGGAGAATCCCAGTTTGAAGCCAGCCTGAGCAAATGGTTCTTGACCCTATCTTGAAGATACCCAACACAAAAATGGACTGGTAGAGTGGCTCAAGTGGTAGAGCACCTGCTTAGTAAGTGTGAGGCCCTGAGTTCAAACTCCAGCACCACCAAAAAAACAATTAGTATAGCAGGACAGTCAATAGATTCTCAGGCCAGGTGTGGTAGTGCACGCCTGTAATCCTAGTTACTTAGAAGTAGAGCTTGAGAGGATCACTGAGGGTAGCCTGGAAAAAAGTTATTAAGATCTCCATCTTAACAAGCAAGCATGGCTTTGCACCTGTAATCAGAGACATAGGGATCATGGTCCTTGGCCAGCCCAGATAAAAAACATGAGACCCTATTTGAAAAAGTAACTAAAGCATAAAGGACAATGGTGTGACTTAAGTGGTAGAGAGCCTGCCTAACAGCTTGAGACCCTTAGTTCAAACCCCAGTACCACTGAAAAAATATGTGTGTGTGTGTGTATATATATATATATTTTTTTTTTAAGTCAGGCATGGTGACACCTGTCTGTAATCCCACCACTTGGGTCAGAGGATAAGTTTGAGGTCATCCTGGACTGCATAGTGAGTTCAAAGCTAGTCTAGGCTACATAGTAACACCCTGTCTTAAAACAAACTAAGAAAGATAGATAGATGAATGGATGGATGATAGATTCTCTCAATTAGAACTGTCTGAATTTGGTTTTCTGCTCTGTTAATCTCTCTGCACTTCAGTTTTCTCATCAAAAAATGAAGTTAACTATTTGCCTAGCTCTGTAGGATATTTCTGAGGATTAAGTGAGATTTAGCCAGCTAAAGCTTTTAACGTAATACCTGCCACATGATCAGTACTCAAATATTAGATGGTGATACTAATTGTTCCCATTCATGTTAAAATTTTCAAAATTCACTAAGTTACAGATTATAGTTAAAAATGCAAACTTCCATTTAACTTTTTATTGGTGAACACATGTGCAGAAAAGCGTACTTGCTATACATTGACACTTGATGAAATTTCACAAATAAATGTGCCTGTTAATCACCACCAAACCCAATTCAAGAAACAAGACATTCCTAGCACCCAATCGGTCCCCACATGCTTCCTTCTCATCCATATGAGAAATCACTCTTGTGCCTTTTACTGGTATAGATTAACCTTGCCTGGTTTTGTGTTTGATATGAATCGTTGTATAGTGGTATATATAATAGTCGTCGTCTCATGAGCTGTGTGTCTGGCTTCTTTAACATTCTGTTTGTGAGAGTCATCTGTGTTGCTGCATATCATTGTAGAGCCTTATTTCCCTTATTCGTTAGTATTCAAGTGTGGTATCTGTTGATGAGCACCTGGGAAGATTTCAGTTTAGGCTGTGACAAGTAGGGCTGCTGTAAGCACCTTCTTGGGGACTCTAGATCCATAAGATTAGGTCTGCTACGTGGTATGTTATATGCATATTGAACACTAGTAGGTAAGGGCACACAGTTCTTTGTTTATGTCTTTTGGATACTATCATTCTGAGCGGTAAGCCAAAAATCAAACATAATGTTCCTTCAAATATATTCTTTGGGTATTTAGTAATAATTAGTCAACCTTTAAAGTTATATTATAAGCCATTTCTTAATCCTTAAATTGAAAAGGACCTGATTTTATTTAATCATTTAGTAGGAGTTGATGAGTATTGAGAACTTTGTAGAAGTAAATAGTTCCCACTACAGGAAATAAATAAAAATGTAAACTTTTGAGAAGCAGTAGAGTATAGCCATTGAGAAGTCAAAATTTTGGAGCCAAACCAGCCCAGTTTGACTCATGCCATTTGCAAGCTATGACTTTGAAGACTTTCTTTAATCCCTCTTCTGTAAAATGAGAGAGATACTAGTACAAACCTCATGGGATTGTTGTAAGAATTGAATATGTTAATGTAAAATCACATAATTATATATGCAAAGTGCTTAAAAGAATGCCTAACACATAATAAGTACTTTTCCTTTTGTTATTTTTCATGTTTTGGTAGTGGTTTGGCATATTGCCCAGACCTTAAGCCTCATATCCACTCTATCCTTCAACCCTCCCCTACTCCTAGGAGCTCATCAGGAGGCCCTGCTGTAGCACTTCCCAGTTGCCCATGTGAAGGGGGCGCTGTTTCTCGTGCTCCCTATCTTGCTGGAGTGAGGTTTTCTCTCTTGCTCCTTGGTTATTGCTGGACCTAACTGGGCTTAACTAGGGCAACTGGAGATTTTAAAGATACAGGTTAGACAAAAAAGTTTGGCATCAAGTGTTTTCTACGCTTAGCTGGAGACACACAACCCTCATTGCTTCTTTTCTCTATCTTGATTCTTTAAGGCCTTGCCCCTTGTAGTTCTTTAAAATCTTGCTTAAAACCTCTTTCCTTAGGCGGGCACTGTCCCATGTTTGCTCTCAGCATATCTTTAGCTTAATTGCTCTTAAAGCCTTTTGCCCCCACTTGCACTGCCCCTTCTCCCTTTTGTTCTCTTAGAGCCTAGGTGCTACAGACTTGCAAACAGCTGCACCTACAACCTGCACATACGCATAACTCTTAAAAGTCTTGGTCGTTAGACTTGCACTGCACACTGTCCCATGTTCTCTTTGGCTTTTCTTTAGCTTAGCTTTCTAAGGCCTATGTATGAAGTTCTTTCTCAGCTTTGCTTTCTGAAGCCTACTTTACAGTTCTCAGTACATACTCTATCAACCACTCTTTAGCATTTTCCCTTTAGCAGTTGTTCCCTTTCCCTTCCAAAAGCTTCCCACACCAAAAAGCCCAAAGTAAAGCCCTAAAAGACAAGAGCCAAAAGCAAAAGCCCCTCTTTCTCCTTCAAGGGTCTTATTATAGTAGCAAAAAGGGTGGAGCCGAGGAGGGGCATAACATTGTAACAGGAGAAATCTGCATTCCTGCTTTTCTGAACACAGTTTAGAGGAGCCACAGCTGTTCTGCCTTTCCCTGTTCCGTGGCCGGGGTCTGTGCCTATAGGTAAAAGCAATTAACTGCATCTCACCTTGCTTGTGTCCAGTTCTCACAGGATTTAATCTGCTTCCCACACCCATGGTTTAATTTACCAGACATTGTGATTGCCTCTTGCATGGATTGCCTTATTAGATTGTGAGTTCTGTGAGGCAGGGGTTTTCCACATGTTGGCCACACAGATGTCCATACACAAGAAAAACCTGGCACATTATGGTGTTCAATGAATTCTTTTTCCCTCCCTCCTTTCGTACTGGAGTTTGAACTCAAGGCCTTGCACTTGCTAGGCAGGCTCCTTAAATTGACTTAAATCCACAAGAGCGAGCCAGCCAGCCTCTAGTGGCACCACGACCAGGAATTTAAGGCTTTCTCACTGAGCTAACAGTGGAAACTGTACTGCAGAAACAATTGCAGAGCTAGGAGATGGTGCTGGTGTGTTAGAAAGACTCTGAGGTCAGGAGTAGAGTAGTGTGGGGCAGTCGTGTTGTATTATAAAAACAATTTTTCATCTTTTCAGTCATTAGGGAGTTACTGAGCACCTACAATGTGTCTGACTGTGATAGGCTCAGAGAATGAAAAGAACAAGATAGAGATGGTCTATTTTAAAGGCAGAGGTAGATGATAAACAAGGAAACAAAATAGTTATAAGTTGTGATGAATTTAGAAAATTGAGATCAACTGAGAAAGAGAGCATGATATAGGACATAAGAGAATAAGCTTCCTCTCTGAGGAAGTGGTGTCTAACCTGGGACCTTCTTTAAGTGTCTCTTCCATTGAGCTTTTTGAAGGAAAAATCTCTGTTGTTCACTGACTTATCCCCATTGTCTACATCAGACCTAGTGTGTAATAGGCAGATTGAGTAAAACATGCTTCAAGGAGTAGTGAAGAGGCAGCACCTCCTCCCATCACTCACCAGTTGTTTTCCTTTTTAAAAAGAAGATGTGGTCCCATTACTGTCTGGTTAAAATCTGACAGAGGTTGTCAGTGTACTGCAGGATAAAGATTGTGCTCACACATGATACCTGAGACTCTTCATGAACTACAGTCTTAGAAGCTTTATCGTCATTGCTTCGACATGCAGCATAGTTAAGCACTATATTGCCCTGAACACTCCATGCTGTTTTCACATCCTGTTTTCTAATACACTGTCCCCTTTTACCAAGATTCTCTTTCCTTTGTCTCCCTGGAAGATTTCTGTTTATCTTTCAAAGGCCAGTTTAGCTACCACTGTCTCTAAGAAGTTCATTGGCAGCCCCCACTGGTTCCCAAGGGAGCCTTTGTCACACCTCATAACATATTCTTGATGTTGTATTTAAGCTGGTTTGTACTTTTAAAAAACTGGACTATATTTTATAATTCTTTGTTTTCATGCCCACTTTCCTACCAGACTGTGGGAATATGTTCTTAAGGGCAAGATTTGTTTTTTTCATCTTTGGGTGCATGATATCTGGAACAGTGCCTAGCTAGCTCTTCATTTGTGTTTAGTATGTATTTATGGCTGAGCACTGTGGTGTGCCTCTATCCCCAGCTCTTCAGGAGGCTGAGGCATGGGGATCACTTGAATCCAGGAGTTTGAGGCCAACATGAGCAACACAGCAAGACTTTGTCTCTTTAAAAATATGTATGTAGGTGTTTTTGTGTGTGTGTATCTCACATATATATATATATATATATATATATATATATACACATATGTATATGTGATGTTTATATTTATATGGTGAATTTTTAATTTATTTTTTAATTATTCCTACACTGGGGACTAAACCCAGAACCTTGTGCATTCTAAGTATGTGCTCTACCACTGAACTAAAACTCAGCCTAATATGTATTTAGATGGAATCCTCTCTATACTGAATTTAAAATAGTAATGACATTTTATAATTTGAATTATGTTTAGTGGTTTTGAATAAAAAACAGACTTTTGTACTAATTTTAAAAATCTGACCTATTTTAATTTTTTTTTTTTACTCATCTGAAATTCTGGTGCCTCTCAAAATTTTTATTTGATTTAATCTCATAATTTTATAACCTTAGTTCTTAAGGAAAGTAATGATAATGAATAGAAGAGCTATCAGGCTAAGGTCTGAAATAGTAGTACTGTAGGCTAGGAATAGGACAGCCCCAGGGGAACCTGTTGAGAGTTTACTGGGAAACTAAAATTTGATCAGGTCTTCTTCTATCCAAATGCATATTTAAAATGATGCCATGTGACTTTATTTCTAGCTCTGAAAGCATTAAAGAGGAAGTGCATATATCAAATATCTGAAGCTCCTAACCTGTGTTAGGAAGTTGATGTGACCTTGAAGGTTTTTAAGATATTCACTGAGTACTTTCTGTCCTGTTCATTTAATGTTGAAGCCAAGTTAGGTATAATCTAAGTGAACTCTTTTACTTCCTAAAGTATGGTGTTCATTCAGATTAGACTGATAATCTGAAAAGGGAAGAACTTTATAGTAGCAACAAGAGAAAAATATAGTAAAGAAGAACATGGAAGACCTGTATCTTAATGTCAGTCTACCAATAATTCTATAAGCTTGAAAATTCTCTAACCCTTGTGGAATCATAATTTCCCCAGCCCAAGCAGTGATGAAACAAGAGCAGTTAGTGGAAGTTTGGGTATTTGAGGTAGTAAGTAGTTCAAAGCGCTCTGTAAATATGTAAAGGGAAAATTCAAGTTATGATTCCTTAGGGTTTTTAAAGTAAAACCCTACAAATACATGAAAATTTTAAGGAATAGTATTGTTAAAATAAAAAAAAAACATAGTCAACAGCAAGTTTCAAGCCACTCTTTTAAAAGGGTGTCTGTAAAATAGACTGATAGAAACTTAGTTCCTGGTTACATGCAATCAGGCATAATCAGGAGGGTACTTGAGATGCTGGGGTGACATGGAAAAAGAAGAGCAACTAAATAAGTTGTTAGTATGGAAAACCCAATTAAAAGAAAACAACCAGACAAACACTAAGAAATGAAATCCAGAAGCACTTCTTAAAGAAATCTTTCCTTTCGAGGAGACTGCCTGCTGTGACAATTGTTGATAATGCTGGAGAGTAACACTATTGGTTGGTTTTGTAAAAACTGAAAAGTGAATGACTTGACTTCATTGTGCCAAAAATTGAGCCTCCTTGTAGCTGGTGTCAGTAGCTCACACCTGTAATCCTAGCTACTTGGGAGGCTGAGGTTAAGTAGATCACGGTTCAAGGCCAGCCAAAGCAAACAGTAAGACCCCCATCTCCAAAAAATAACCAGAGCAAAATGTGGTTCAAGTGGTAGAATGCCTGCTTTGCAAGCACAAAGCCCTGAATTAAAAAAAAAAAAAAGTTGAGCCTCTTTGGCCAAAATGAAGTGGGATCCCATGCCAGTAATTTCACTTATCATGCAAAACAAATATATCTTAGCATGTCCTTCTAAAAGTAGAAATTTCTTACGAGGTACTTTTTAACAAATTTTTCACTAATAGAAAAAATGTATTAAGCCTTTCTTGTGAAGGAATTTAATTTTATCTGTAAAGCACAAAGATGGAATATGGAGTTTATGGTTTTTGCCATGATTAATAGGGAAGGTAAAACTTTTTAAAATCTGTATGTAAGTTAAGAAGTTTGAAAACAAGCCAGGCTTGGTGGCACATGTAATCCCAGCTACTCAGGAAGTAGACAAGAGAATTGTGATTTGAAGCCAGCCTGGACAAAGTTAGCAAGACCCTCTCTGAAAAAAAAACTAAAAGCCAAAGGAGTGGTTTAAGTGATGGAATGCCCGCCTAGTAAGCTCAAGGCCCAATCCCCGATACCGGAAAAAAAAGTTTGAAAACAAGTTTGCCTTCATGAAACAAAGTATTTGTGGGGTTTTGTTTTGTTTTTTCTTTTCTAGATAAAACTTTTCCTGAGTATTTTGTTAACATTTTGGGATTTAAAAATTCAGTAGTTTCCTCTTGTTTTATAGTTCTACTTGTCCAATTCTGAAAAGGAGCGTTATGAAAAGGAATTTAGCCAAGAAAGACAACAAGAAATTTTGAGAAGAGTAGCAAGAGACTTACCTATCTACACCACATCAGCTTCCAAAGGTAAGAAAACAGTCTAAGCTTTCCTTTCCAGAGGAAAGGAAATTGAACCTGTGTTCATTTTTCCAGGATGCTTGCATGGTCTTGACTATTAAGCATGTGTACAACCATTGCCACAAGCAATGTCTGCAGTAATAAGATCTCCTATTTTCTGCATCTTGTATGATATTTTGGATATAGATGGATATATAACTTTATCATTGTGGATTTTCTAAGGGGCTCACTTTAATATGAATCTCTTCCTTATTTCCGCCCCCCCCCCAACTCAGCTTTTATGTCTAAAAATTTCAAGAGTTAGTCCTAGTAAACCATCATTTGGACATTCTGGTTTGAATTTGACTGTTGAGCATCATCACCATTTAGTCAAGAATGTGCTAAGAAAGGGGAGCAGTAAAGTGCTTGAAGGTGCCTGGTGTACACTCCCAGCTCCTCAGATGCAGAGATAGAAGGCTTGCCCTTTCAGGCCAGCCTGAACAAAAAACAGCGAGAGCCAGAAACAAGCCAGATATGCTGGTCATGCCTGTAATCCCAGCTACTTGGAAGTTGGAGGCAGGAGGATTGCGATCTGAGACTAGATCCAGCAAAAGCCAGACACCCTATCTGTAAAAACAAAAGGACTGGGAACATGGCTCAAGTGGTAAAGCCTTTGCCTAGCAAGGTTCAATCCCCAGTATCACCAAAAAAAAAAAAAAAAAAAGACACAAAGGACACTGATAAGAATAAAGCTGATAATGAAGTCCTGCTTAACTTCACAAGCATGTCTTGTCCCCATTCTTCTTCCTGTACTGTCTTTTCAGCTCTTATTTTTAACTGTGGAGTTCTGACACTACAATACTATGATTTTTCTTTATCTCTTAGTTTATTTCAGTACTTTTCTTAACATGAATTAGAATAGATTGAAGGATCTTATTGCACTTGTCCTAACATTCCAGACCCTTGCTGTATACCAGGGACAGGATGGAGTTGCAGCTGCACACAGGATTGCACTTCTGCAGAGCAGCCTGCATCTAGCTGCATCTCATATATAGCATCCTTCCTGTTGTTTCAGAGGGGAGACTATGCACTTCTGCCTGAGCATCCAGGAACCATTACCCAGGATTCGTCATTCACCTTAGTATTTGCCTTTCATTTCAGCCTCTGTACTTCTAAATAGAGCCCATTCTTATATTTCCAGATCTGAAAGAATAGCTGTACTTGAATGAGTATTACTCAAAACTTAAAACTCATACAAGACCAGATTCATCCACTTAAAGTCTAGTACCATGAAGGCAGGAGGCAAGTCAACTTTGTTCATCTTTGTTCTCATCATCTAGCAGTGTTTGTCATATGTAGAAACTCTCTAAATGTCCTTTGAATGAATGAAAGAGCACCTTATCCCCCTCACCAACCTCCACCAAATCCAGCTGTTTCTGTTCTTGGACTGTCATTCTTCTAAACTGCCCTACACAAGAAACAAGTTTCCTTGACTACAGTTTTCACAACAGTCCAGTCTACTCAATCATTAAGCCCTGTCTTACAAGGTCTGTTTGGTCATCCTTATTCCAGAGCCTAGATAATTTCACAATGTGGATTAGAGAATGTAGAGGAAAGGGAAAATATGAGACTTGGCTTCTAATCCTGATCTTAACTCCTCATAGGTTTATGTTTGTTGCGTGGACCCTGAACTTGAGTGACTCCATTTGGAGCCTGCTCTCTTTTCTTAATGGGATATAACCAAAGAGTGGAAAATTCTTGTTAAAGTCTATGTGGCATTTCACTGTACTGACTATACCCTGAAATGCTTAATTGCTTTCATAAGTCAAATTATTCCTATTGTATCAAAAACAATGCTATAATGAATATCTCCATTCCTCCTTACTCTTCAAACAAACCAAGCCTGATCCTGTTCAGTCTGCTCCCTCTGACTAGAATCTCTCCTCACTCACTTCTTTCAGTTTCAGTGTTCTTAGCTGTTTCTGAAAGGCAGTGCCCCATTCCTCTTCCCTGCTAACTGTGCTATCACTGTCTAATAATGCTATTTATTTTTAATTAGTTGATTATTACTTTAAAAATTCTCCTCCACTAGAATGTAATTCCATGAAGTAAAGGTTTTTCCCTAGAACATTATCTCGCATCTAAGCAGGTGCTTAGTATGTTTTGAACAAATGAATGTCTGAATTGGGCATGTATTAGAATTTAGTGGAAAGCAGCACACCTCCCCTAAAAATTCTCACGGTTTATCTGGGGTAGGGATGACAGATAAAAGGTTGGTGTTTTTGTTTTTGTTTTTGGGTTTTTTTCAATAACACAAATCAGAATTTCAAAACCAAAATCCCATAGGTTGCCTTAAAATATAAATTTTGTTATTTTAATATAGAGATTGTGATATAGTAGAGCTGGCTTGGTGGTGCATATCTATAATCCCAGCACTCAAGAAGTAGAGGCAGGAGGATCTCCAGTGAGTTCAAGACCAGCTTGAGGCTTGAGTTACATAGGGTAGCTCATAATGCAAGGTCTGGGGATACAGCTCAGTGGTAGAGCACTTGCCTAGTATGGACAAGACCCTGGGTTCGATACCCTGCACCAAAAAAAAGAAAAAGAAAAAAGGTATAATAGGAAAAAAACACAGGATTTAGAATCTACTTGATCTTGAGCTCTGGCCCAGTACTGCTTCTTTCCTTATGTTTTAACTACCACAAGTCACTTACTTGCTTTGAATTTACTTCATTTAACTTGAAAACTTCTGGTAAAATACATCTGTGAGGTTCTCTTCTGTCCTCATGTTTGGCTTGAGTACCTCTCCAGTGTAATTTGGTACTGTTTTTAATTACTGTTGTGAGTTTCCCAGAGTATTTGTTTTAAAATTTTAGTCTTATGATCACATTAGTTGAGCTTTTGTATATCCTTCAGCATCTTCTTTTACTTCTTCCATGTAGCTATCAGATACTGTGAAAAATGTCAGTTGATTAAACCTGACCGGGCACATCACTGCTCAGCGTGCGACACGTAAGTGGTATCATCTGCTTTCAGTGGAACCTGACCCTGGGAGAGTGGCAAAAGGGAAGGGGGAGGAGCATTTTACATGCCATGAGCTTAAGGAGCAAAGCTAAAGAAGAGTAGATACTTAGCAAAAACTTTCATCCTCTCCCATTATTTACTATGGATAAAAAGCTAATAAAATACTTATATAAGCTAGAGTATACCCAGAAGTAACCTTTGATAACAATTTCTCTGCAGGTCGATAGAATTTTTCTTTAACTTTAATATGCTTTCTGTAATATTGAGGCAATAGTTATAACCTGCCTGAGAAAGATAACTATTTCTTGGATTAAAAAGGCTGTAATTATGGTTGTCTTGTTGTTATTATGGATGTTGATATTAAAAACCTAAAAAAAAAAAGTAACTTCCTAATTGTTTCTGTTACTGTAAGTAATATTTTAACCTGAAAAATTAAAAAGAATTTAGTCCTGTAGCACGTGTAAGAAGGTATTGTGTTAAAGGAAAGATTGTTAGTTTAGGATTCCCAGCTAACCTTGCCTTTGAGTTAGACATACTACTTAACTTTCTAGACATTAGGTTTCTCATTTGTTTCATTAGTTGAGATGATCTATAGTTAACTTTATACAAATATAAAGTACATATACTACTAGTAGGGAGGCAAAGTTTGGGTTTTGTTTGGGTTTTCTTTAAAAGTACAGTAATACTTATTCATAGGGTAAACTTTTTTATTTAAACATATGGAAAAAATAAGCATTTCCCATCCCATCAGTGTTAATGTTTAGCATATTCACTTTTTATTTTTATGATGAGTGCATGTTTAAAATAACAGGATCATCTGTTTGCATTTTATCATCAGCTAATTTTTAAGGTAGACCTTTTCAATGTACCAAGTATTATCCTCAGATCTGAATGTTAGAATGTTATCATATGATGCAATAAGCTAGATCTGAATCTGCTTAGCTGATTTTCCCAGTGTCAAAAATTGACCTTGTACCTACGAAAGTACTTGTGGAAATACCAGAAACCATCTCTAACCTAATGCCTCTAACCTAGTGTTACTCTTAAGTTGTAGCTTTAATTGGAAATTTTAATTCAAAAGAAAATTATATGACAAATTAGAATTGAGAATTTTTCTGCATAGATTTTCTTATGCTTATTTGTTTCTTAGATGTATTCTTAAGATGGATCATCACTGTCCTTGGTATGTATAAAAATAGAGGAAACTGCATAAGGAGGTGGAAAGGTGAGAAGGAAAGAATTCAGAGTGATTTACTTCAGTATTCCTAAAATTATTTTTTCTGGTGCTAGGAATTGAACTCAGGGCCTCAAACATGTTATCAGTATGCTCTACCACTGAGCTACACTACCAGACCTAATATTCCTGTTTGAAGGTCAGTTTAGTTCTTCATGGATACTAAAATTGATGTGATTTTATATATGTGTGTGTGTGTGTGTGTGTGTGTGTGTGTGTGTGTGTACATATTTATATTAAATGTTTTATTTTAAATATATCTTCTGATGTTTTTACCCCAAATAGTGATGTGGTAAGAATTAATATTAATATTAAAAATTATAGTAATTAAGAATATAGTGTCTCAAGTGGTAGAGCACCTGCCTAGCCAGACTGAGGCCCTGAGTTCAAGCCCCAGTACCACCAAAAATAAAAAGAGAGAGAATTAACACACAATTTATTAAAAACACAAATCCAAGTGAAGACACTTGACTCTTACTTCCCAAGTGGCCCACTTCCAAGTAATAATGATTTAAGTTTTCTGATTTATTTTGTTAGCGTGGTTTAAAAAACACATAAAACTTACCATTTTAACTGTGTCTGTAAGTGTATAGTTCCAGTGGTATTAAGTGTATTTACAGTGTTGTACAGTTCCAGAATTTTTACATGTTATAAGACTGAAACAGTTTCATTAAATAACTCCCCATTATCTCCACAAGCCCTTGGAAACCCCATGCTACTTTCTATTTCTGTGAAGTTGTGATTTGTCTTATTTTTATAGTGTGACTCTCTTTATTCTTCTAGGGTGAATAACTGTGTGGGATTTTCTAATTACAAATTCTTCCTGCTGTTTTTATTGTATTCCCTGTTATATTGCCTTTTCGTGGCTATAACAGTTTTAGAGTACTTTATAAAATTTTGGACGGTAAGTCTTTTTTTCTGTCTTAAAACATGTATTAAAGATTTTTTAAGATGCTATATTCCTAAAAAATTACTTCCTTATTATGAGTAGTTATCCTTTAATTTTGTTAGTTAGAATTTATAATGATCCAGAGGAATCCTACGTGTCTTGGATTTCAGAGCCCCAGATTGATAAAAGAATTTTCCCTAGATGGAGAGTAAGAAAAGTGAAAAATTAATAGGACACCTGTAAGAGGGAAGGACAGCAGACAAGTAGGCAAAGGAGTATGGTTTTGTACTTTGGTCAAGCCACTTTTGAGTGGCTGTCTCCCTTGTTGTGGACCTTACTGCCTGGTTGTCGCTTCTCAAATCATCATTTGAATTTTATACGCAGGAACATCTCCCCTATGGGGGCTTTTACTTCCACATTCCATCTGGTCCATTTTGTACACTCCCTGATTCCACCTGCCCCTTGGTATTTTTCCATCCACAATGTCTCCTTAAAAATGGGAGGCCACCTCCATACTACACACAGATGAAGATGAAAGTCACAAACATGAGAGCTCAGAAGAGAATAAAATTCACAGAAGAATAGATGAACAAATGAGAATTAAGACTCTGTAGAAAAGCAAACCCCTAAAATAATAAGGGAAAGAAACAAAAAAAAGGATTTCCTGCCAGATGAATAGTCTAAAATATCTCTATGAGGAAATTTCACAGTATTTATCCATTCAGCAGTATTTAATTATTCAAGAATAAATATTCTTTAATATTTTAAGATTAATTATCATGGTTTCTTTATTCATTCAGCAAATACTAATTTAGCACCTACCTTGTGGGGACTTGGGATATAACAGTGAACAAACAGTCCTGTGTGTGTACAGTTTAGTTTTGAGAAGAGGGAAACAAATAACAAAAGTAGATCAGGATGAGGGATTATCAAATGCCAGGGTGGGTGTGGTGGTGCAGGTTAAGTATCTTTAGATAGTGGACCAGATGGGCCTCACTAAGAAGGTAGCATGGGTAGGATTTGAGCAAAGACTTAAGGGAATTAGCGGGTATCTGAGAGAAGAACATTTCAGGCCAAGGGTATAATGTAGTTGTCCCTGGCATGTTTGAGCCTCAGCAAGAAGTCAGCTATAGCTGAAATAAAATGAGCAAGGAGACTCAGGGAAGCCCAGAAGGTGAGGCCAGTGACAGGGGGCCTTAGAGAGAATTGAAAAGGATTGGGTCTTTTACTCCAGTAAAATAGCAGGGGAGTGACATGATCAGATCTGTAAAAGGACCACTCTGATTGCTGATCTGAGACTATGTGGGAGAGGGGCAAGAGTCAGCACAGCCACCATGTGTTGGAGGCTATCGTCATTTTCCGGCTGGCATGATGTAGCAACAGAGGTGGTAAGAAGTAGTTTTTGGAACTACTAAACAGAAGTTTAAAGAAGTATATACTTTGCTAAAACATTTTATCTTATTCTTTCTAGCACAAATCTGTTCTAAAAGGTGGGTCAAAAAGTACTTATTTAAAGAGTACCTGAAATGTGCCTGAAGAGCTAAATGTTCTTGTTAGTTTTCTCTTTGATACTTTTTGAGAAAATGTTGCAGATGACCCTTTGAGGGCAACATGTTAGTAATTCCTTCAAGACATACAGGATTTATAAAAACTGGTGTTCAGGATAACTTTGTATAAAATGGGTCTCTTAATACATTGTCTCTATTTGCACAAGCTTTGCCACAGGAAATCGACAGAGAATTGTCCAAAGGTAAAACCACATCATTGCCATGACAGTCTCATGATCTCTTTTATGACATTTTTAGTGCTCATGCACAATGAAAATTGTCTTACAAGATGGTGAGCTAGAAGAATCACTTTTATTGTGTTTTAAAGGTATGGTGGTTCTTCTGGGAGAAAAGAGAAATGTCAGAATGATCTTATGTAGGATTGAGGATGTGGCCCAGTGGAAAAGCACCAAAAACAAACAAACAAAAAAACTAAGACAGACACAAAAGAATAGTGCTGATACCTTCCTTTTAGTCTGTCAAACACTTTTTAAATCAAGCATGATAGCTTCATACTGATTAGAGAAGGCAACTTACCTGTGTGGTTTCATTTTAAGAGCTAACTTAAAAGTTTCCTCGTCCTATTAATAGATACTCATTTCTTCCAGGTTAGTCTTTCCTTCTGTTAAATGCATGTAGCCATAAGAAGGAATAACAGAAGCTGTTTTCATTCATTAATATCTTGGGGTAAATTTATTTATCAAAATTGGCTATTACCTACAAAGGCTGTATAGAAATGAAACAAAGATGAAAATGGCAGGAATCAAAGCTAAGGGCAGGTACACCTTCAAGTTGATGTTCTTAAAGTAGACATTAGACAAGCACCAAAATAAAACTTAAATATGGCTGCCTGCAGCATATATAATTAAGGCAGTATTTTAACGTAGATGGGGGAATCCTTGTAATATACACACACACACACACACACACACACACAGAGTTGGATAGAAGAGCCCGTCTTTTCATTTTATAATTGAAGGCATTGCTAAAATTTTTAAATGATTAAGAGCAATTTTTAAGTGACTCTGACCTCATAAGCAACCTGCTGTGATAATACCAATTCCTTGCTTTTGTAATTATTGCTTTGGGATATATTATCTAAGTTTATTCTTCACATATGGTGATTTAGTGGATTCACCAGTCTTTAGACAGAACCAGATTATAATTTATATTTTAAAGTTTTAGTATCTTCAAAATTAACTCTTCTTTGTTCTCTCTTCAGAATGAGCTAGCAGATACACGTGCAAAATTCCACGTGCTTTTTCTGTTCTTTGTGTCTGCAATGTTTTTCATCAGCGTCCTCTCACTGTTCAGCTACCATTGCTGGCTAGTTGGAAAAAACAGGACAACTATAGGTAAACAGGCTGAAACACATCCTGGGGACTTAGGAAAATGACCACAAGTGAATATGACATCTTAGAGGAGGATAGTGTCACACAATAGAGCAGCTCAGTGGACTCTTAAGTGAAAATTCACTCTGACTGGGTGTTGAGGTTGTATAAGACATGTGAGAAAATATTGCAGAAGTGAGATTGCTTTACAATTTCAGAAATGCATTTCATAAAAGTAGGGAACTGATTACATTTTATAAATTTTAATTAAAAGCTATTGCCCAGCTGGGTACCAGTGACTCACATCTGTAATCAGGAGGCAGAGACCAGGAGGATTGCATTTCAAAGCCAGCCTGGGCAAATTGTTAGACACAGTGTCGAAAAAACTCATCTCACACACACACACAAAAAAATACCCATCACATGGAGGGGCTCAAGTGATTGTGCCTGCCTAGCAAGCCTGAAGCCCTGAGTTGAAATCCCAGGACCACAAGAAAAAGCTGTTTCCCCTATTACACAGCGTCTTTTACAAAACCAATCTGAAAGCTAGACAGTAAATTTTCATATATACTTAAAGAATATTTGTGTTCTTGGGGTTTGAACTCTACTTCATGCTTGTCAGTCAGACGCTCTTCCACTTGAGCCATACTTCCAGCTCCCCCCCAGAATTTTTTTAAAGTTTTAAAATTTATCTTTTAGCTAAAACATATCACCAACATATTTCATATGTATTTTTGACCTTTATCCTCGCAATGACATATGTGCCTGTATGTTCTGTGACTGAGGCTAAAGGAATAGTATTTGTGACATAGCTCATTATTTCAGTCTTTGTTATTTGTCAATGAAACTTAGTACATTGGGTTTTTTTCTTTCTTTCTTTCTTTTTTTTTTTTTGGCAGCACTGGAGTTTGAACTCAGTGCCTGGCATTTGCAAGGCAGATCCTCTGTGACTTGAGCCACATCCTCAGCTCTTTCCTCATTTTTAAAAATGAAAATATAGGGGAAGTAAGGCATTTGAGTAATTGGATAAGTATTTCCTGAAGGAAGATGATAGGGATAGGTGTTGTGGTACATTCTTGTAATCCTAGTACTTGGACAATTGAGGTGGGATCACAAGTTTGAGGCCAGTTGGAAGTATGTAGCAAGACTGTGTCAAAAACCCAACTAACAGTCAGAAAAGAGAAAGATGATGGCAATGCCCACCAGCAGCACCATGGTGTTGCCATGGAGATATTTTCACATCTGCTAGCAAAACATACAGAATAGAGATTGTTGTTGGAATATTTTGTAAAAAAGTTAAAGTTCTCCTGCTTCCTGAAGCTTGTGTGTCTGCCAGGAGAACTGGAAGGAAATGAGATAGTTTAGGGAAACATTTTGGATACTTAGATTTAGATTAGTCTAATGTCATGTTAATACTGAGCCGGGTAAGTTACAGTGGGCTTCCAGTGAAAGGATTTCTCCACCTTTTCTTCCCCAGCCCACCTTTCACTAGTAAGCTGTTCTCCAGTTCCATCACACCGTCATTCTTTTTCATATAAATAAAATACTTCGTATCTATTAAGTGATTTGTTTGTCTTCTTCATAGAACTTTCTTACTCTTAATCAGAGTTCATTAAAAAGTTGGACCATCTGCAAACCTAGCTTTTATGGTCTTCCATAATAGCTAAACACAGCAGTTTCACATGGAAAACCAGAATTGTTCCTTTGAAGATTGAGAAATTTGGTAGTGGTGACCCATTTTTCCAACTGGTTGATACTAGTTGGTTCTAAGTAGTAGCCGTTGCTCTTGGAAGGGCATGAACACTTTAATTTCCTAGTTCTCACCAAGCCTGCCCACCCCTGTGTGAAAGTAAGGTTGTATTAACCAGCTTTCCTTTGCTATGACAAAATACCTGAGCTAGATCAACTTAAGTGGAACAAGATTTATTTTGGCTTATGGTTGCAAAGGTTTCAAACTATGGTCATTTGTGTTGTTTCTGTGCTGTGGTGAAGCAGGACATCACGGCGGGGAACACATAGTAGAGCAAAGCTGCTCTCCTCATGTGGTGGGGAAGCAGAGGGAGGATGGGGCCAGGATCCCATTATACCTTCAAGTGCATGTCATACTCCCAGCCAACTTTCTTCCTCCCACTAGGCCCTGTCTCCTAAGGTTCCACCATCTCCCAGCACTTTCAGTAATGGCATGAGCTGGCATGTCAGATCCAAGCCAGAGCATGGGTGTTTCCAGGGAACCCACTGTTCTCTTTGAATAATCTTTTCAAACTTTTTTGCCCGTGGCCATAATAGCCTCATCTTTCCACACCTGTGGTCTGGCTAGTTCTATGTTACTATATTCAAATTTTTATTCTCCCATCTTCTGAGAGCATTTTATTCTGCCCTTGTTCATAACTGTCACTTGCTCCCGTGAAGTTTTTTCCCCACATTTAATGAGTTCTCGTAGTCACACTTATGTCATCATCTCAAACAGATGAACTAGCTCCTTTGATTCTTGTTGCCACTCATTCCCACAGCCATCCCTTGAGCCTTCAACCTCTTGCAGCTGAGGAGCCTCTGAAAAATGCAGTTTTAAACTTGATATTCCACTCTTGGATACAGTCGTTCAGCCTTCCCGCTGTCCTATTTCTGTGCTCCAGTGTACTTCTTTTTGAGATCACTCAGTTCACCATAGTCCAGTACTTTGCTCCCAGATTTTTCTCTCCTAGTTTTATTCTCTCTTCTCCATTCTAGATACTGTAATAAATGACATTAGCATCTTCCTACCTTTACAGCCTCTTGCAGACATTCTCCTTTCACCCTGTCACTATGGCCTTCCCTCTAACTTCTGAGGAACAGCGTCTTTCTCTGGCTTTCAGGGTTCATCTTAGCATTCTACCTGACTTCCCCTCTATTCTGGGATCCCTTCTGTCAGTTTTTACTTCACTTTCCCTTATTGTCAGTCTCTCCCAATGCTCTGTTTTCATCTTAATCTTAGTTTATAATGCATGCTGATGTGCATTGTTTTTAAATAAACTAAAGTTTTCTTATGAAACCTGTGTCTTTCTCTAGATCTCACTCTGTATTGCCTGACAACCAAACTTGAAACAATGATCTATAATTATCTTCTGCTTCCTCCTCTTTCTCACTGACTAAGGTAATGCTCAGGTGCCACCACCTGCAGTGTTCACCTGCCATTACCTGTACCCCAAAATTCTGTCTGTCCAGACAGAATTAGGTTCTTTCACCTCTGTGCTCCCAGGGTACCATGTCTGTTGTACCACTTACCACATGAAATCTTGCTAGACTATAGGTTCTTTGGTGGGAATTTCATCTATTTTTTTTTTTGGATCCCAGATACCTGGTACTATGTATCAGGAACACAGTAAGAAGTTCATAAATAATGAGTAAAGTTTGGAAGAGTTACAATATCTTTAAAAAGAACCAAGTGAGCCCAGCACAGGAGCCTTACACCTGTAATCCCAACCATTTAGGAGATGGAGATCAGGAGGATCAAGGTTCCAGGCCAGCTGGGACAAATAGTTTTTGAGACCCTATCTTGAAAATACTTAACATGATAAAAACAGGCTGGTAGAGTGACTCAAGTGGTAGAGTGCCTACTTTGCAAGCGTGAGATCCTGAGCTCAAACCCCAGTCCTGCCAAAAAAGAACCAAGTAATATATATTGAACCTACTTCATTTGATTTTCAGTAATATGACAATTATTTTGTTGTTATTTTATATTAGGTTGATGAAATAAAAATGTGTTTTTCCTAAACAAATTTCAGACATTTATGTTTTTAAAATATTTTATTTTTAATCAACACATAGTAATTGTACATATTTTTGAAGTGATAGAGTGTAACATTTCAATACCTGTATATAATGGGTGATGGTCAGGTCAGATCAGGATAATTGGCATCTGTCACCCCTCATGTTTGTCATTGCTAGTTAATTATCTTTTAATTGCTACAAATATATTATTCATTTTAAACTACATAGCTTTTTATATCATAAAAAAATTTATACTTTCTTAGTTTTTAAATAGACTAGTGTTTTATATGTATATTATATATATATGTGTGTGTGTGTATATATATATATACATAATTTCTCCCTTTTTTTTAACAGAATCGTTCCGTGCACCTATATTTTCATATGGAACTGATGGAAATGGTTTCTCTCTTGGATACAATAAAAATTGGAGACAAGTCTTTGGTGATGAAAAGAAATATTGGTTACTTCCAGTGTTTTCAAGGTAATTGATAAAATGTAACTTTCAGAAATTAATGGCATATGTAGCAGCCTCTATCACAGGATAAGAAGACATACAGAGTAGAATACATAGTGACAGTATTTTTGTTGGGGTTTTGTATTTTTGGTTTTGGGGCAGTACTTGGGGTCGAAATCAGCATCTTACGCTTGCTGCAGCCCAGTTCTTTTTGGCTTTCGTTACTTTTCAAGTAGGGCTTTTCCCCGGGCCAGTCTAGACTGTGATCCTCCTACCTGTGCCTCCCACGTAGCTGGAATTGCAGGCGTGCATCCCCGTATCTAACAATTCTCACAAAGTTTATGCCCAGCCTAGCCCATAGTGACAATTTTATGGGCCTTAAAGTTAAAACTCAGGCCTGGAGCCAGTGGCTTACACCTGTAATCCTAGCTACTCAGGAGGCAGAGATCGGGAGGATCACAGGACCAATAGTTCTTGAGACCCTATCTTGAAAACACCCAACACAAAACAGGGCTGATGGAGTGGCTCACTTGGTAGAGCTCCTGCCTAGCAAGCACAAGGCCTGAGTTTGAGCCCCAATACCACAAAAAAAAGAAAAACTCAGACTATCTTAACATATATAAAATACTTTATTCTTTTCTTTTTTGGGAGGTGCATCCACTGGGGTTTAAACTCAGGACCTTGCACTTGCTAGGCAGGCGCTCTACCATTTGAGCCATGATCCCAGCCCTTTTTTGCTTAAGTTATTTTTAGGTAGAGTGTTGATTTTTTGCCAGTGGCTGGCCTCCTCATACCACAGTCCTCCTACCTATGCCTCCCACATAGCTGGGATTACTGACGTGGGTCACCACACCCTGCCTACAGTCTTTCTTACTAGACACAGTAAAGGAGAGTTTCAGCATGTATTTGAATGAGAAGTAGAAAAAGAAAATCACTTTTTTTCCTTCAAAATGAAAATAGGTTGTTTGAAGCAACAAATTATAAGAATTTATTTCTAATAGCTATAGTTTCAAAGATTCTTTCACAGAGGTTGAATTATACGTCTTTTCTTTCTTAAATCAAAGAAGACCAAACAACATAATGCAATTATACCTCAAGTGTAAAAGATGGTGCACTCCAGGTGATCCAGTTTTCATTATGCCCTTCCCAGCCACCTCAGGTCACACAGGGCCACTGTGTTTTTGTCTGTACCTTGCTTTTGTGGCCTCCACTTTTGAAGGGTATTCTGCTTGGTGCAAAGTTCTAGGTATTGCCTCACTGTTCTCTGGGTATGTTTCCTAATGAGAAGTTTGTGGTCACATTTTTTACTCTACATAGAATGTGTCTTTTCTGTGGCTACTTTTAAGACTGTTTATCGCTACTTTCATGAAATTTGATGACAATTTGCTTTCGTTTAGTTTTTCATGTTTCTTATACTTGGGATTAGTTGAGCTGCTTCTCTGCAGTTTTATAATTTGTCATCAAGTTTGGAAAAATTGTTGAGCATTGTTTCTTCTGTCATCTCTGTTCCCTTTGCTGCAGGAACTTCCAATATACATGTATTAATTCATAGTTCCATGATATTTGCTTTTTATTCAGCCTTTTTTTTTTTTGTGGTGGTGGTACTGGAATTTTGAACTCAGGGCCTCACACTTACTAGGCAGGTGCTCTTACTGATTGAGCCACTCCAGCCCTATTTTGTGATAGGTTTTTTTAGGCTAGGGTCTCGTGAACTATTTGCCTGGCCTGGCTTTGAAGGATGATCCTCCTGATCTCTAATCTCCTGAGTAGCTAGGAATGCAGGCATGAGCCACTGGTGCTCAGCTTGCTCTACCTCTTGGGCCATGCCTCCCGCTCTATGCAGCTTTTGTGTGTGTGCGTTTCATGTTATATATACCCTGTTGCTGTATATTCAAGCACACCACTCTTGAGTACTTTTCTGTTGTGTCTTGTTTCTAAGAGTTTTCTGCTTCCACTGATTGGAACATGGACTATTTGTTTTGAAGGTTATTTTCTCTGGTCAGGAATTCATAGTGGGGCAGGTGTTCCCCCTTTATTTAAAGATACTGTTACCAGATATGTGCATGGTTTCTGACAGGGAGTCACCTCACTTTTATTCCACTGTTAGTAAATCACTGTCATCCTCTTCCCCTCCCCGACTTTCATTACTTCATCACTGGTTTTAAGTAGTTTGATGATGGTGTTCCTTAGTGTTTATCCTACCTGGTAGTGATTAGGCTTCTTGGATCTGTGAATTTATAGTTTTTACCAGGTTCAAATAATTTTCAATTATGTCTCTGGTTGTTTTCCTGTTGGGAGAGGTCATTTGTTGGATTTGTTGGTTTTGCTTTGTTGTCCATCCTGTTTTTTTCTCCCCTTTCTCACCAGTTTTTCTAGCATTCTCTAGCACACATGTTAACTGCTGGTGACCCTTTGCTATTCTGTTCTTCTCCCCCATCTACTTTTCCATCTTTGCTTCATTTTGGCTAATTCCTGCTACTGTGCCTACAAGTTCATTAATCTTCAGCTGTGATTAATCAGCTGGTAAGCCCATTCACAGAGTTTTTTCTTTTAGATGTTGTAGTTTTTTAGCTCTAAAAGTTCCATATGGTTCTTTTTTTATGTCTTACATTTCTGTTTTCATTCAGTCTGTTTTTCCTTTAAATTCACAGATGTATTTATAATCACTGTTTAGAAGTTTGTTAATTTTCACTTTCTGATTCTTTTCTGTTGGCTTTTTTTTGTCTTCTTAGCTGTGGATCACATTTTCTGCTGTGATTTCTGATTGGATGATAGACATTTTGAATGCTACTTTACTGAATGTCTAAATTTTATTGCCTCCCATTAAAGAATGTCGAACCTTATTTTGGCAGGGAGTTAGCTTACTTATGTTCAGGCTTTTGTTTGTTTTGTTTTGTAATACTGGAGTTTTGAACTCAGAGCCTCATGCTTGCTAAGCAGGCGCTCTTACCACTTGATCTGTTCTACCACCTAGTGTTAGGTATTTCCAAGATACGGTCTCTTGAACTGTTTCGCTGGGCTGGCTTCGAACCATGGTCCTCCTGAATAGCTAGGATTACAGATGTGAGCCACCAGCACTGGCTTCAGGTTGGTCTTTTAAGGCTTGTTTTAAGCTTCATTGGGTTGGGCCAGAGTAGCATTTTCTGTAGGGCTGAATTTAGCTTCACAGTAAAGAATGGAGTCTCACCCAAATTCATGCATTCAGTGAGATCTGTCCTCTGGCTAGTCAAATTAGAATGCCTCTCAGTGTGTGGGAGCTCTGAATTTGTTCAGCCTACATTTCCCAACTGTTCTCCAGATTCATCTGTGTAGTTTTTTTTTTTCCTTTTTTTTTTTTTGTGGCATTGGGGTTTTGATCTCAGATCCTCATGCTTGCTAGGCAGGCACTCTTATCACTTGAGCCACTCTACCAGTCCTGGTTTTGCGTGTGTGTGTATGTGTGTTGGGTTTCTTCGAGGTAAGATCTCACGAACTATTTGTCTGGGCTGACCTCTCCTCCTGAGTAGCTAGGATTATAGGCATGATCTTTTAAGAATACATCATCTGTATTCTTAAAAGACTCAAGTATAGCACTGTGCAGATTTCTGTAGCCATTTCTCGGCACATCTTCCTCCTTATTGCTCTGCTTCATAGGTTCATGCCGCTTCAGCTTCTCAAAACTCCCATTTCTGTCACCTCAATTCAGAGAGACTACTTTGTACTTTCTTAGGTTCCCCTCCTGGTGCTGAGGTCCTGGTAGAAAGCTGGGACTCACTTGTTTTATTTTTCTTCTGAGACCACAATCTAATACTGCCTGTTTTGATTTTTGTATGCTGGTCTCTTTCAGGCTGTTTATGATGGCATGTCAAATATGTAGTCATTTAATCTTGGGTAGAAGTAACAGTCTCTGTTTTATTCTGGTGTGCTGACAATGTGAAAGTAAGATATAACTATACTGTTTCTTAGATTTCAAGATTCTTGAGGGCAGAGATTTTCTTCCTTCTATTCATTGCTATATCCCTAAGTCCTTAAAATGTTACCCAAAACATCATAGTCCTTTAGTAGCTATTTGGTTTGTTTGTTTTGCAGTGTTAGAGAACCAAACCAGCTCAGGACCTTGTGTGCTAGGCAAGTGCTCAACTACTGAACTGCACTGTCTGTTGTGTCTAGTGAATGGTGGTAAATAAATAAGTGTGTGAGTCTCAGTAATGTCTTCTTTGATGGTGATAAAGAAGGTCAATTATCCAAATACCCGAAGAACTATGTCTGAGGTGCCAACTAAGCATTGTGATCATAATAGCCAGAGAAGCAATTGTTTCTAAATATATGTAAATTGTAAAAAAAAAAAGGGGGGGGGGAGCTTTATAGCTTCAATGGCGGTAATAGTCCTCTAAATTGGAAATCTTAGGAATTAGTGTCTAAAATGACAAGTTACAGTAATTTCTTTGTACCATGCCTCTGAAAAATAGATGTTAAATGTGACCACTTTGATTAACTGATACACAGATCATTATTATTTCTCATTGTGCAGCTTGGGTGATGGTTGCAGTTTTCCAGCTCGCCTTGTGGGGATGGATCCAGAACAAGCTTCTGTTACAAACCAAAGTGAATATGCCAAAAGGTGTGTTTCTTGTCCCTAAGTTTTTCTGTATTCATCATAAAACAGACTCTGTCTTTGTCTGTTACACATGCATTCTTGTGGATACATTCATCAGTCATTCAGTAAGCCAAGATAGGAAAGAGAAATTCTATTTAAGCTTTTAAACCAAGGGCTAGTGTGTGTCATATGCCTCATGCTTAGGATAACCTTTTGTTGTTGTTGCTTTTAAAATCATCCAAACCATAACACTTTTAAGAGTAGGAAAGAGAATACTTGAATATAAAGCATGCTAATAGTTAAATTAGAGCTGAGCACTGCTGACTCACATCTGTAATCCTAGCTACTTAGAAGGCAGAGGCCAGGAGGATCATGGTTCAAGGCCCAACAGGGCAATTAGTTCGTGAGGCTTCATGTTCAAAATAACCAGGGCAAAATGGATTGGAGGTGTGTAACTCAAGCAGTTGAATACCTGTTTTGCAGGCATGACGTCTTGAGTTGAAACCCCAGTCCCACAAAAAAAAAAAAAAAAATCGCATGCAGCTGGAGATGTCTGGGCAAAATAGGAAGCAAGGAAATGCACTACACCTCCCTAGAGAGTAAGGTCTTCTTTCAAGATTCCATCATTGGCTTATATCAAATTAGATTTTTTGGCCAGGCACAGTGGCTCACATCTATAATCCTAGCTACTTGGGAGGCAGAGATTGGGAGGACTGTGATTCAAGGCCAGCCTGGGCAAAAAGTTCATGAAGCCTCATCTGAACCAATAAAAGCCGGGCATAGTGGTGCATGCCTGTCCTCCCAGCTAGAGAAGCATAACTTAGGCAAATCTTGGTCCAGGCTAGCCCAGACATAAAGGTGAGACTGTTCATGAAATCTATAAAGCAAAAAGGACAGGCAGTGGGCTCAAACGATAAGAGGACTAGCACGTACAAGGTCCTGAACTCAAACCCCGGTAACTCCAATTTTTTTTTTTTTCAAGAAATTGAAAAAAGTCAGTTTTACTGACATGTTAACTACAGTATCAAAATGAATAATGAGGGTTCAAAAATACATATTTTTTTCTTACTCATTTTAAAGGAAATTTTCTCATTTGTATGGCAAGCAAGCTGTTTTATAAATTGAATGAAGTTCATTTTTAGGTGAAATTTTAAAGAAGCTAGAGAATTTCTGTCAAAGTGAAACAGTTAGAACAAATTTATTACAGAACTAAATTGTAGGGGAAAAGAAGGCTGTAAGTTCCAAACTAGTATATTAGTGTTAGAAGAACCTAGGCTCCACTGAAGGCCTTTGGACCTTTGAGCTCTAACATTTATTGTGATTTTGAACAAGGCACTGAAATTGTCTGAGCCTGTTTCCACCTCTGTAAAATACAAAATGAGACCTGCCTCCAAGGGTTATTGGGAAATGTGGAGACATGTGCAAAGCTCCTAGCACAGTGTCTGGCCCATAATAGGCATCAATGAATTTTAGTTCCTGTTCCTCTCCTTCATTCCCTCCCTCCCTAGTTCTTAGTTAGAAAACTAAGTCTAAGCTAAATCACTAAATCATTTTTTCCCCTTAGATCTAAACTGCAGAGGTAGAAAGCAGAAATCTTGGGAAATGACAGGTAATTTTTTTGTACTAGCTGCAGACATAGCTCTTCACCTGTCCTTGTACTAATTTATGGCTCCTGATTAACCTGGTAAAAACATTGCAGACTGGCCTCTGAAGCTTTTTCCTTTGGTCTAATTGGTTTCATTGGCAGTGTTAGAGTGCACACTGGGGCCTAGAGAGCCATTTAATAACAGGGGCTGTGGGCATATTTTCCTTTTGAAGGTACATTTGTCAAACCATTGAGATCTCTGTTTAGGAGAGGGAATACTAATTTGCTGCTTATTAATTTATTACATGTTCTTAACTGAATGCTAGACCATTTACTAAATTATTTTATCTTCTTTTCAGTATTGGCTCAAATCAACCTTTTCCTATCAAACCACTTAGTGAATCAAAAAACCGTTTGTTGGACAGTGAATCTCAGTGGCTAGAGAATGGAACCGAAGAAGACATCAGCAAATCAGGTAACAGTCCCATCTGAAAGCACTGTTTTGTTGGTTCAAATGAAAGTCATCAGATTTAATAAGTGTGGAAATACTTTGAAATACTGAAACACGAAACTTTTTGATTAAAAAAAAATGTCTTTATATGGGGTGTTTGTGTTTATTAGTAGCTTCTGTGGAGGAAGAGGAAGAGCCAGGCAGGGAGAGTGGCTGAGGCTGTGTTCTGTCCTGTTCAGCTGCAGCCACAGTTGTAGAACATTCTTTTGCATTGGCTATTCTGAATGCTCTGTGTTGTTTTTGTGGTGCTGGGGGTGGAACCCAGGACCTTGCACATGCTAAGCAAACACTCTACTACTGAGCCACATGTCCAGCCTGCTATTTGTGTGTTTTAATCAGTGTTACTCTTTAGGGTCCCAGCTTATATGTTGGAAATAAGTTTTTGAAAGCATTGTTTAAAAAGGGTGCTAGAGCTGGCCGAGTGACTCAGGTGGCAGAGTGCCTGACTAGCGAGCTTAAAGCCCTGAGTTCAAACTCCAGTACTGGGAAAAGAAAAAAAAAACATGCTGATGACTTAGTTCATGACTTGTGGGTACAGTGCAGAGTAGGTGATAAAACTGATCATATCTGGGTTCTGGGTTTGCATTATCATCTGGCCACTTCACTAGCATCACAACCTAAAACATAACTGAGGCACTTGTTAATGATAATAGTAATAGATTGTCACTGTGTCCTTGCTGTGTAAAAATAGTTTGAGACATTTCAATCAATTTTTACTAACTCTAGGAAATACTATGAAAACTTGCTGTTGGAACTTCTGACCTTTTTTGAAGCAGAGGGTCCTTTTGGCTTTTAGGAGTATTTAAAACATTATCTTAAATTAGTATCTTTAGGATCTTCATTAAGATCATTAAGCAAGATCAGTGGAAAAGTTCACTTTATGGGCTGTTATTTTTATAATAATTTTATTATTGTTGCTTAACATCTTTAAGGCCAATGGATGTTTTCAGAAGGTAAGCATAAAACTAAACTTTTAACTTTTAGCATTCTTTACTCCTGTGTTCTACAAGAAGGCAAATGGTGCCATAAGCCTGGGTATTGCTTTACATAATAGTTGTTTTTAATGTGATTAATTTCACCATTTAGCCAGGAACTTAATACTCTTTTTTTTTTTTTCTGTAATGTCATATATAATTATGTGCTTACAGGGACAAATAACCATGTTACAGTGGCAATAGAAAATTGAGTACCACTTGTTCATAACTAACCATTTGATAAGAGCAAGGTAAGACAGCATAAGGTAATTTCCTTGAGCAAATATAGTTTATTTGCATATTCCATAATCTCAAAACAATTATGCAGTTTTTGTTACTCTTTTCAATTATATCAAGAAATTTAAGTGCTACAAGATAGACTGATAGCAGGCCAAAATCTCACTTTTCATAATACTTCTAGTTCATCAGTAAACATTTGTTGGTAGGTTAATGAAGGAACTAACAGACATAGTTTGGGATTGATATGTAGACAACTTAATTTTTTCAGTAAAAAGTACCGTATTAATTAGCTTAAGAAAAAGTGACTTTTGCTCAGTATTGAAGAAATGTGATCCAGAGAAGAATGATTAAAGTTAAAGACTGAAAAGCCGTTGAAGAGGTTCACTGATGTTATTTAGTTTTGTGAAAGATACAGCAAACGAGCCACAAACCAACAGCTTAGGACATCTCTATTCCTCATGGCAGGTGCTTATTTTTCCAAAGGGTCCTAGGGAACCAGGAGACCATCTGCCTCCTGGCCAACAGCTTGTAGTCAGGCCAGGTCCTTTCAGAGCACTGGAGCCTGTCTGGAGTAAGAGCCAGAGCCTAGGACTGAAGACAGATTGAGAGCACAGGCATCTCAGTCAGAGATGTGAGAGACTGTTGGGCGCCAGTCGCTCACACCTGTAATCCTAGATAATCAGGAGGCACAGATCAGGAGGATTGCAGTTTGAAGCCAGCCTGGGAAAATAGTTGACAAGACCCTATCTTGAAAAACCCTATCACAGAAAATTGGGGTGGTGTAGTAGCTTAAGGTGAAGGCTGAGTTCAAGACCCAGTACCACAAAAAAAAAAAAAAAAAAAAAGAGTGAGAGACTGCAGTCTGGAGAATTGTTGCAGGACCTGCATGTGTGACCACTGGGCAGGTCTACACCACTAAGGCGGGTAGCCATGGACAGATGCTCATTGCTTCTAATGTAGACAGATACTGGCTGATGCTTGTGGTTGTTGAGAATCCCCAATTAAAGTTCCTCTAAGAGTCACTGCGACAACTACCCTCATCTACAGCAGCCTTGGAACAGGTGTAGGTAGATGTGAGGTCTCTCCTTGAGTGATGTCCAGGGAGTACTGTGCGAGCCCTCTGTCAAAGTTTCCTGGTTGCTTCAGGGGAAGAAAGTTAGTGTATCCCTTTATTTATTGCTTATAAAAATCTATATTATAATATCAGTAGAATTAAAAAAAACGTTTCCTATCTTGTAATATTAGCACCTTAGTCCACCTTAGTCCACAGAACCATTCAATAAATATTTTGGGAAATAATAAATCAAGTTGTAACTAATAATTCAATTGTTTGTTTCCATAGGTATATAAAAACACATGTGGACTAATATTTTCTACTTTATTTGCAAGAAAGTGATCAGTGGAATGAAATAATTCAAGTATAACAGAAGATATATTTTTTAAAAAAGGAGGCCTTTGTACAGTTTGCTGGATCCACAGAAGCGCTATGGAGAAGAAAGATGCCTTAACTTTTAAGTGTTCATGTGTGCAGCATTGACTCACAGCTCAAAAGTGACTTAATTTTACTGTGGAAATAACACATGCCTGTTAGGAGATGCTATAGTGTGTGCTGTCATCACGTTAACATGGCATAAATACATTTTTTGATACTTGAGTTGCAATGTTAGAGTTGTTTCTTAGTATCTATATAAATTTTCACTCCAAAAACACAAGCTAAAAACTTGTCTTAAATGAAGTGCATGTAGGGCAAATGGTAGCTGAGAGCAAGTAATGCCCAAATTACTGTCGCTTGCACTGTATGAAGGAAAGAAAAGAACTGCTTTTTTAAAATTGGGTGTTTGCTAATTTATAATTACTGTTTTATACTTTTCAACATTTTTAATAAAGTTTTTTTTATTGTTGGCTATAAAGTAACACTCAGAAGGATTCAGATAATCATTTAGAATATAGAACACATCGGTATAATTCATTGAAGGCTTAGTTAGAAGAATTAATGCGACCCTGTAGTATAGTTTCTGCCCAAGGCTTAAAGGGAACTTGGCAGTATAAAGAATATTTTGGGTGCTCTCTGCATTTTAATTCATTTTTGCTGAATTTTCAAGGGTATTTATTTGGGCAGGGAAACTCAAAGGCATATGTGGTATAGAAAGATTAGAAGTGATCAGAAAAAAAACAAGGAGAAAGGCAGGATATTGTAAACTGTTACAAAATATTTTCAGTCCTAAGGGTATTTAGAATAAAACATACTGTTAAGTTGACTTTCAAACTTCAGTTTAGGTAATGACTAAAAAAGACTGTGAAACTTTTAACAGGAATACTACAGTACCTTAAATAGTGGCAATTCAAACTAGTAAAATCCTTTAGAAGAAATTGTAAACCTTAATAGTCATTTAAAACTTCCAGTCTCTGAGAAGTGGATTCTACTTTGAAATGAAAAATCTTAAACCTGATTTCCTAAGAACAACCCCTTTCCATGAGACACGCTTTGTTTAAAATCTAATGTCACTGACAACAATAGTTATATTCTACAGAATAGTACAGTATCCTATAAAAAATAGGCAGTGTAAAAATATTTTTCCTCATTTACTGCTTAATTGAACACACACATACCAAAACGACTGCTTCCTGTAGGTGGGCAGAAAGAAACCTTACCAGCATCTGTAAGGATCAGAGGTTGTAGTTCATCTGAACATGGGATTGCAGGAGAGAGAGGGTGCCCTGAATGAGTTGGTGTGCACAACTTCCAACATTCCACAGTGCTTTTCAGTCAGTCAACAGGTATTTCTGGAGTACCTTCCCATACATGGAAGGTATGCTGAGGGATAGCTCTGTAATTTGCTAATCTTGCATCATCAGGTAGCTGCTGCTCCAGGTTTACAATTTGGTGAAAGCTTTGTCAGATTCCCACAGGCTATACTCTTTATTTTCACCCTTTGGACCAAAGGAATGAATAAGCTTTGAAAACGTAGTTTGGAGGACGATAGTATAGATGCTTCCACTTTTGTCTCATCTCTTTAGTCTTACCAGTCTTGATTCTGGAAAACTAGAATGAGAGATAGGAAATATCAAATTATCAACCAGAACCATAACTTCTTTTTGATGGTTTGCCTATTATAAGGGATTAGTAAATGTTTAAACATACTTGATCACTTCAGAAATGTCTGGTTCTCCTGTGAGTATTTCTTCTTGTAAATCAAAGGATTTACATGTGTCTGGCTAACAGTTGAGGAAGCATCATTTTCCCTTTAATCTACTCAGCACTTTTGTGGAGTTATAATCTCTTTTCATTTGCTACTTAACATCATCTTTAATACACAATAAACACTTTTTCCTAAATTTTTATTTAAGGGCTTTTGCTTTAGTTACATTTGATTTAACTTATAGCAAACATTTTGCCATATTTAAATATTTAGCTTTTTTTTTTTTTCTTCAGTTCTAAGGATCAAACTCAGGGGCCCTTGTACATGCTAGGGCGGGCGCTCTTCCACTGAGTCACATTCCCTGCCCAAGCTAAACTTCTTCACACAGATGAATGACCATTCACTGAGGGCCTACAAGTGGTATGGGAGTCAGGGAAACACTGCCTCTTTGATATTTCAACTGACATTAAGTATTGCTATCAACTGTTTAGAGAGATAAGGTTAAACTGAAGCCTTGCCAAAATTCCTAATTACGATCTTTTGTCCTTCAAGCACTTGAACATTTGTGAAGATACTCAGAAAATTAGTTTCAGGTCTTGCCGTTGCCATTAAAACAAACTAAACAGGAGACTTGGTTTACCTGACTACAAATTTACTTGAATATTCAGTACCTGAGGCATCTGATCAGTGTCATGATGCCAAACCAAAGAGCAGCTGTAGTATAACAGTTATTAAAAATGAACATGTTTACAAAGCTCACTTTCATCTTTACCTAAGGATGATATTTTTAGAAAGTCTTCTTAAATATGCAGTGGTTATGATCCAGTGTGTCTGTCATAAGTGAGTATGTAATTGTAAGTTTAGTTTAAATGAAATATGCAATGATTACTTGAATTTTGTTTCTATTAGAAAGCAAGTTTTGACTATGTTTACAAGACTTTAAAATGATCAGACATGAGGTCTTCAGTTATTGTTAAAGCAAATCTATATTAAGGGCTTATTGTTAGGACCTGCATATTTGGACTTCAAAGACAGTAACTTACATATGTTTCACTTACATTGTGTTCTGCAAACTAGCACTGCTATCAATGGATGGGTATTTTTAACGAATCTGTTCTAATAAATTAATCATATTTTTGCATTTTCATCTAAACTAAAGAGCATAGTCTAATAATCTATTAGATATAGGTTATATTTAAATCTGAAATCCATATGTTTCATATGATCTGAACTATTTTTCAATTTCAATTTAAAATGCAATATAGATTCAGAAAGGTCCGTATTTTTCTAATGGCTTCACTCTGTTATTTTGTTTGGTTGCGTAAAAGAAGCAAGGAATTAAGAGAGTACGAGCTGTTCAGTTTGTTATATTCGTACTGATTGCAGATGAGTCTGTGCCCATTTGAAAGAAAAGCTGGACACTATTTTAAAGTGGTCTTTAATATGCTTTTATATAAAAATATTTGCCACATGGTTTCCCTTAGTTTTCATTACTTGTCAAGTGCCAGAGCCTTGTGTTTGGTTTTTGTTTGTATAACCCTGGACTGTGACCTGGGCTCACTCTGCTTTGTCTTTTGGATGCCTAACCTGCATTAACGTGTACAGAACATTTTAAAACTTTTTTTTCAAAAATCAAAATTACTTTATTAATAAATAAATAAAGATACATTCTTGATTTTGAACAGTTTTTGTTATAAAGTGGTACTTACAAAATGAGAAAATAATTACTACTTTGGTCAACTTGAAAATCTGTGTGGTTAGAGAAAGATTGACTAGTAAATTGGGAATCTCTAGTATAATTTCAGCACAACAGAATTGTAGCTCACTTATTTTCATCCCAAACCTGTAGGGTTTAACTTAACTCTTGCTGAACGTAATTTAATTTCAGAAGTTTTCTAGGATCTTGAGTACCTTCAAATCACTGTAGTAACAAGTTTTATCTTGCTTATTTTATGGTATCTGTGTTCCATTTCCCTTCCAAAGGGACAGAGTTCTGATACTAAGACTGGTGAATAAAATGCCTCTGAGGTTGAGCTCGATTCTCAGTCTAGTAAAAGTTCAAAATATTTGTAAGAACCAGTGGCGGCAAAAGACCAAAAATTGTGTGTTCTCCTTCATATGCAGACATTAGATCAAGGGGACTGGACTTTGAGCACATGATAAAAGCGAGAGCACACAGGGGAGGGGTGAGGATAGGTAAGACACCTAAAAAACTAGCTAGCATTTGTTGCCCTTAACGCAGAGAAACTAAAGCAGATACCTTAAAAGCAACTGAGGCCAATAGGAAAAGGGGACCAGGAATTAGAGAAAAGGTTAGATCAAGAAGAATTAACCTAGAAGGTAACACACATGCACAGGAAATCAATGTGAGTCAACTCCCTGTATAGCGATCCTTACCTCAACCAGCAAAAACCCTTGTCCCTTCCTATTATTGCTTATACTCTCTCTACAACAAAATTAGAGATAAAGGCAAAATAGTTTCTGCTGGGTATTGAGGGGCTGGGGGGAGAGGGAAGGGGCGGAATGGGTGGTAAGGGAGGGGGTGGGGGCAGGGGGGAGAAATGACCCAAGCATTGTATGCACATATGAATAATAAAAAGAAAAAAAGAACCAGTGGTGGAGGCTGGGGTTATAGCTCAAGTGGTAGAGCGCCTGCCTACCAAGTGCAGGACACTGAGTTCAAACCTCAGTACCTCAAAAGAAAAAGAACCAATGGTGACTATTGAGATAAAGCACCCCAAGCCCCTCCATCATTCAGAACATTGTGCTGGAGCTGGGCTGGGTGGGGGATGACTACTAAATACCCAGAAGTCTGCTTTGAGAATCAAACAACATCACATTGGCTTTACTTTTCTCATTTTTTACAGCTTGCACTTTCAGAACCGTCTGACAAAGTAATCCTGGCTTCTTTATGTGTGGCACTGTGTTCTCCAAAATATTCAAGGATGAGCTGGGTGCCTGTGGCTCTTGTCTGTAATCCTAGCTACTTTGGAGGTAGTGATCAGGAGGATTGCAGTTTGAGGTGAACCCCAGGCAAAAAAGTTTGTGAGACCCAGTCTCAACCAGTAGCTGGGCACAGAGGCATGTGACTTGTCATTCCAGCTCCACAGGAGGCTGAGATCTGGGGAATAATAGTTCCAGGTCAGCCTGGGCAAAATAAAGTTCATGAGACCCCATCTCAACAGAAAAAGCTGGGCATGGTGGTACTTACTTGGCATCCCAGCTACTGCAGGCAGCATAAATAGGAGAATCAGTTCTCAAAAATAACCAGAGCAAAGAGAGCTGGAGAGTGGCTCAAGTGGTGGAGCTCCTGTCTAGCAAGCCATTGAAGCCTTGATTTCAAATCCCAGTTCTGCCAAAAAACAATACGCACGGATGGCAGTTAACTTTCGTGCCACACATTTTGATGGGTGTTTTAACGTTTTGTGACTTTACTGCCTCTGACCCTGGGGTCAGTGCCTTGCCTCCATAGGGTTTCAGTGGTGTCTGCACTTGCTACTCCAGCCCATGCTGCTCTTCGTCCACGAGTTAGCTCTTCCCATCCAGGGTTCCCACTCTCCTGCTGTGTCCTCACCAGGTTATTTCTTGAGCGCTGCCCACACCACTTTCTAGTGCTATACTTTGTTCATTTTGCCATGATGGCTATACCTCAAGTAAATGACTACAAATTCTTGAAGACTGATTTTTCTTGTTTAATTTTGTAGTAGTCTCCCACAAACTGAACACAGCAGATCAGAAAAGAATTGTGATAAATTTCATGACCCTTAGGGTTTTTTTCCTGTGATATGGCTGCAGAAATTTCCTAAATTTGGAGAAGACACTAGCCCCACTGTCACGTGTTTGCATGGTGGGGTGTGGGCGCATTCTCAGAGCAGTTTGGCTTGGCAGTATCCATCAAGGAATTTGTCTTTGTTTTGTTTTGGCGGAACTGGGGTTTGAACTCAAGGGCCTCACACTTGCTGGGCAGTTTTCCTATCGCTCCCAGTCCTTTTTGCTGTAGTTATTTTTCCATTCATGTTGGGGCTGGCCTGGATGCTTCCCATGTAGCTGGAATGACAGGTGCATGCCACCACATTCAGCTTTGTGTTAGTTGAGATGAGGTCTCACAAACTTTTTGCTGGGGCTGGCTGCTGGAGCTCTGTTTCCTCTGTAGCTAGGATACAGACGTGAGCTACTGTGATGGCCACCATCAAGTTTTCAAATGCCCCAAATCTTTGATATCTCAGTCTACTTTTAGGCATTTTATAGATAAGTATTGTGATTTGTATCAGGGTATCCATTGCAGTACTGTTTGAAGCAACAAAAGACTAAACAGCACAGGTGTGTGACCTCCACAGGTGCATGCAGTGGAACATCTACTGTCACCTGTTAGGAGGGAAACAGAGTCAGCAGTAGGTTCTCTTTCACTGTATGCCCTCTCATGCTAATTAATTTTCTTACTGTGTGCATATATTAAGTTTTCAAAGAGAAGAATTATGCCTTGGACATTGTGTATCAGCAGGGGAAAGGTAAGATGTTTGATGTAGGATACTAGACTGCCATTTTAGCAATTCGGGAAAAATTAACGCTGCCTCTGCCCTTCACATCCTCCAGCTGAACAAGGTCCACTTGGCTCATAGTTAACTTTAAAATGAAAGGCACTGCAAGGAAACATGGGTAGATGGGCTGGCTAAGTGGTTCAAGTGGTACAGTGCCTGCCTGGCAAATGTGCAGCCCTGAGTTCAAACCCCAGTGCTACCAAAAAATAATTTTTTTTGATCTCTTGCATTATACACATTTTTTTTCTTTTATTATTCATATGTGCATACAAGGCTTGGTTCATTTCTCCCCCCTGCCCCCACCCCTCCCAAAAATAATGTTTTTTTAAGGAAACATGGGTGAAGAAATTTTTGTGGGATAGGAAAGGTATTTCTAAGTAGTGTAGTGCTGGTAATTCTGAATAGAAAATTTCGATCCCATGGAAATTGAAGAAAACTAGCAGTAAGTACAATGGAGAGCCAGGCTGTCACTCCATGGAGAGCACTCACTGAGGGTATGCAAGGGTTTGATCCCAGCATCACAGAGTAAAGAAAGAAAAAGCTGGAGACAAGTCACCACCACCACCGGAAGTGTGTAGAAGATGCTCAGCTTCTTAAGAAGTGCAGACAGACAGCAGTAACATGATTTTGGTGTAGGACAATTGCTGGGAATCTGGGTTCTTTGCATTTTTGGTGGAAGTGTAAAATTGCTTTGCTTAACTAAAAGCCATTTGGCAATATGTGTCAGAGTCTTCATTGGGGATAATCTGCACTACCAACTCCGGAACATATATAGAAATGAGCAGAGGAGGCTAGTTGTTTAAGAGGCTTTTTTGTTTTGTTTACTTTTCACAGTACTGGGGTTTGAACTCATAGCTAGGCAGGCCTGTACCACTTGAGCCACTTCCCCAGTCCTTTTTACTATAGTTCTGTTTTTTTAGATGGCGCCTCCTTCTTTTTGCCCAAGGCAGGTGTCAGAACAGATTCTCCTACCTATGGCCTCCTGTGTAGCTGTGACGACAGGCATGCACTACCATGCATCACCATGCTCAGCTGATTGAGATGGCATCTCGCTAATTTTTTAAGTGGGACTGGGATTTGAACTTGGGGCTTCACTTGCAAAGCAGGTGCTCTACTGCTTTAGCCACACCTCCACTCCATTTTGCTCTGGTTATTTTGGAGATGGGGGTCTTGCAAACTATTTGCCCAGGCTGGCCTTGAACCATAATCCTCCCAAATGGCTAGGATTACAGATGTGAGCCACCAGCATCTTGCTGGCATCTTTTTGCTGAGGCTGTCCTCAAATCATGATCCAAGTCAGGCACCAGAGGCTCACGCCTGTAAGCCTAGCTACTCGGGAGGCAAAGGTCAGGAGGATCTCAGTTGGGAGCCATCCTTGGGCAAATAGTTCATGAGACCCTAGCTCCAAAATATCCACCACAAAAAAGGGCTGGTGGAGTGGTTCAAGAGGTGGAGCACTGCCTAGTAAGCATGAAGCCAGAGTTCCAATTCCAATACCACCGAAAAAAATCTTCAATGTTACAGAAATGTAACAGAAATATAGAAATATTTTCTGGGAGTCATGTTTGGAAATGTAATTTTTACATCATTTTTCAGACTCATTCGTGCCCACGTTAATTTCACAGGTTGGAAGAAAGGGCAGAAGGTAAGGAGAGGGGAATGGTTCCCCAGAATGTGGGCATTAAAACCATTGTTCCACTGTGTGTTCCCTGGCACTTCTGTGTGTATGCTGATGAAACTTGGGCCTTTGTTAAAATATCTAACATGACAGCATGTTTAGAGTGCTCACCATATGTTAAAAGTACTGTGAAATAGATTGTCTCTAATAGAAATGTTAAACGGCTCTGAAAATACGTTTGTTTATGCTTTTCCTTAAGTAGATGGGGGAGAGAGGAGAATTACGCCATTTATTGAAGATTGCTCTTTGTGTAGGGCATATAATAGGAAAGTGTGTGCTCTAACTTCCTGTGGCAAAGTAAATATTGCTGAGGAGATAGCTCAGTGGGAGAGCACGTGCATGCTTGAACCCCAGCACTGCAAAAATAAAAGGTACGTTTCAGTACATTTTTAGGTTAACTTCATAAGAAAGACTTAATAAACAGTGAAATTCTTAATTTACTTCCAAGAATGCCATGCCTGTACTTTGTCCACTGGATAGGTTAGGAAGAGAAAAACTGAGAAGAAAGAAGTGAGTGGATTAAGTGTTTAATGCCCAAATGTTCATATTAAGAAGATGCTTTCAGATCATTATTCTACATTCATACTTTATTCCAAGTAGCTGTATGTAGAGAACACTTTAGGTCTACATTTTAATATCTGATCTGTCTTTCTAGATATTTTGAAATGAAGATGTTTGTTACAA